CTTCCCTCGGCTGCCTCTTAAATCAGCCCCAAACCTTGCTTTCTTCCTGGCGTCATTCCGGTACCTGAATCGGCAGCCACAGGCACACCAGAGGAAGCATAAACGCAGTTTCTTTAGGATTCACTTAAAATCCCAGTACCAGGAATGCCCTTTGAGGTTATCGAGCCTTTCTTAGCTGATAGATGAGGAGAGTGAGGTGCAGCTTGGAGGCACCCAGGAGCTGCCCCTGAGTCCAGGGTGATTCCAGCTGGGTGGACAGCAAGCCCCTCCTCAGCCCCGGCCGGCTTGCCTACCCTGGCCTCAGGTCCTAGAGGGCACTGGGAAGCTTGCACAAAGTCCAGTGCAAGCCTTCATCTCTTCAGCTCATTTCCTCCTTAGGACAGTGGAGCTCAGAGAGGTGACGATTTGCCCACGACGGCACAGTAAGGCTCAGAGTTGAGCTTCACACATGGGGGCCAGGCCGCGGTCCTGAATGGACAGAGCTAACCGCTTCTGCCTGCTTCATCCCACGGCCTCTCCCAGCACTCGTGGGGTGACCACGCTAGTGAAGACACCGATGACCTGCCTGGGGAGGGGGCGGGAAGGAAATCCAGAAGTAGGCCCCTGCAGACCCCGTCCACTGGGAGATTACAGTCCAGTCATGGGGTGTCAGGGGCTGGGAGAGAAGGACCATAAAACCCTGGGCAGTGTCTAGAGCTGAAGGGATGTCAGAGAAAACTGCCTAGGAGACTGTGCAGACTTGGAATGGGAGGCTCAGGGGCATGGGTGCGCCCTCTAGGGAGGCAGGACCAGCAGATTCTCATTCACGTATGGGTGAAGGATTGGCTGCTGAGGCGGTTTCTGACTTGGAGAGGCTGTGATCTGTGGCTCCGTCCAACCCTCTCATTTTGCAGATGTGGAAACTGAGGCCCAGTCTTGGGGGGGTGTCCTAGATGATGGCTCAGGCCTGGAAGGGGCCTCCAGAGCCACTGAGTGCAGCCTCCTCAGTTTTAACAGATGAGAGGGGAAGGTCATCTGGGTGGCAGGTCCTCTGACTCCTCTGGGCCCCTCTCCCTGTCCACATGACTCCCAGGTCCCTCTTTGTGAGGCCCGGCCTTGCTCTGCCCTCTCTTCATCCCCTAGCAGCTTGGGATGCCGACCAGGGCCGTGCCGATGGCAGACCTGGTTGGAGCTGAGCTCAGGGAGGGGCCGTGCTCGGCCGATGTCCTCCAGGACTGTGGCTGAAGTGCTGGATTCGAGCAGCTAATGAGCAGCCCCTTCACATCTCTGAGACCCCCAGGGCTCCTGGGGTGTGAGAGGGAGCTGCAGGAGACCTTCTGCTTTGTGCTTAGGGACCTTCCACTTTAACTTGCTGCTAAATGAGGGGCAGAGAGTTCTCAGGCCTTACTGGCTGGATGTGAAAGCTAAACCCTTCCACCCCTTGGATGCCTGAGGCTGTAGATCTAATCAGGAGGGGCCCATCATTCAGCTAAGCCCCTCATTCCACAGAGGAGGAAACTGAGTGCCAAGAGGCTAAGGGACTGGCCAGCAGCCATACAGTAACTAGGAGGCAGAATACTGAGTGTTGGCGGGTTGATCCTGTGTAATCGTTCTTTGAGCTAGAAGAAAATGGAAGAAAATGTTGGTTAGCGGACTTCCCTCTGGTAAGAGTCCATAGACTAGGGCACCTGGGGGTGCAGTGGATAGAGCACCGGCCCTGAAGTCAGGAGGACCTGAGTTCAAATCCAGCCCCAGACCAAACACTTGACACTTACTAGCTGTGTGACCCTGGGCAAGTCATTTAACCCCAGTTGCCTTGGAAAAAAAAAAGAGTCCATAGACTCACGGGGTCCTAGATCTGCAGCTGGAAGGAACCTGGGAGGAGGCCAGCAAGCCAACCCCACGCATTTCACAAATGAGGAAACTGTGAGGTGCCCGGGGTCACACAACTGAGCCAGGATTTGAACCCAGGGTGTCCATTTAATATTGACCTGTGAGGTTTGGCCCTCTAGCTTCCTGTAAGGCCCAGGAGGGCCCTGGGGCAGAGGACGGCTCTTCCTGGGCGCCACGGGCCCAAACAGCATCTTCTAGCTCTGCCTAGCTGGGGAAGCACCAGAGGAGCATGTGTCGGGGTCAGGGAGCTAGAAGAGGCAGAGTAGCTTCAGACTGAGCTGGAGGGACCTTGGGAGGCATTCTGTGCAGCAGAGGAGGCCGGCCGGCCCGTGGTGGCTGCTGACCAGCCCCTCCTAACAGAAATGACAGGCAAGAGCCGGGGTGGGGCGTCCCCTGGCCCAGCAGGAGGTGTGCAGGGCTCTGGCAGTGCCAGGAGGCCTTCATTTATATCCGTGTGTGTGATCCCACAGGTTGCAATTCCCCCAGCTGGCCCTGAGGCGAAGGTTGGGCCAGCTCAGCTGCATGTCTAGGCCTGCTCTGAAACTCCGCTCCTGGCCTCTCACAATCCTCTATTACCTTCTGCCTCTCAGTGCCCTTAAGCCTCTGAGCAGGGTAGGATGGAGGCCCGTGAGCAGGGTAAGTGCGGTGCATGGGTGCACAAGTGGAGGCTGGGGGACTTTGATTCTGTCTGGAGAGTTGGCCCAAGACAAAAAGCTCCAGGGAGTGTAGGTGGGACAGGAGAGAGAGAGTGAGTGTGTGACTGTGTGTGTCTGTGCTCCACGGAGTGTGCAGCTTTGAAATGCATTGAGTAGGTGGGGACGGGGGGGGGGGGGGGGTGTCCTCCTGCCCCAGCACTTTGGATGGGACACAGACGTGTCCTGGCCCAGCCCAGAATAGCAGCATGGAGGGGCCCGAGGGACAGCTCTCACTTCCCCGAGGACAAATCGGGGTACTAGAAGGAACCCTGGCAACCCCCAGGACCAAGTGTGCCTTCTTCCTGTTCCCCACCTTCTAACAGAAGGTGTGTGGCTTGGCTCCAGAGGAACTACAGGGCTTCCTCCAAGGTCATGCAGAAAGGGGTCTCTTTAAGCCCTTGCAGTGAAGCAGCAGCCCAGCCTCCCTCCCCACACCCCCAGCTCTGCAGGCTTCCGAAGAATCAGATCGCAGAGGGAAGCAGAGAAGTAGGATTTCCTGGCCCGAAGAGAAGCTTCCAGCAGGCAATTAGGGATGGAGAGAGGAGTTGCTGAGGGGCCGGGGCTGGGAGGGGAGGCTGAGAGGAGCCACGTGGGCGCCGGACTCCCAGGGCCTGCACTGGTGCAGAGGTCAACAGCTTTGGTGTCTCCTTGAGGTGACTTGACCAGCACCCCCACGGTCAGGTCCCCCACGATGAGTCTTGTGTTCCTCCTCAGCAAGGCCCGAGTGCCATGTTCACTCGTCAAGCTTCTCTTCCCCAGTCACTTAGGACCTGACTCCCACAAATTGGATCCCCATAGGTCATGGCACTGCCCTTCATGGTTGCCCCCCCCAAAACAGCTGGTGGGACCCCCCCAGGGACAGGATGCCAGGCCACACAGCCTGGGGCCGGCCCATGGCCTTCCTCCCGGATGTCAGGGCCCTTCAGCTAGCTGGGGAAGGCTGGAGAACTCCAGACAAAACACTCTTTGACGCTGCTGTCTGACATCTTCATTCTCCCTTGCTGTTCCTGGGCACGCTACCCTTGGCAGATACATGAATCCAGCAGATGAGGCTTCTAGGGAGCAGCTGATGAACTCTAGACCTAGGTGCTGGGGGATGTAGAGTCTACTCAGAGCACAGTCCTTCCCCTCTTTGAGGTGGAAAGGTCCAGAGGGGGGCCACATCATTCCCTACCCTGGGACATATCCAGGCACAGGCCAAGAGGGGAAAAACCACTTTGGACTGGGGCAGACGGGGCAAAGGCTTCTGGGCGGAGGCAGCACTAGTGGATAGGGAAGGCCGTGCACCGCCCATGCACTCCCAGCATGCAGCAAGGCTAGGTGGGAGAGGCCCCCGGGATCACAACAGGACCCAGCTTGGAGGGCCCCTCGCAGGTCATTTCCTGTTGGAAAGAGGTCTGTGAGGAAAAATGGCCTGCTAGAAGAGCCGTCCTGGGGGACTGTCCGCTCATTCAGGGCCTCTTCAGTGTTTAAAGTTAGAATCAGATTGCTGTGGGATTTCACAGACTGACAGGGAGGAAGGAGGATGCAGGATGCAGAGCACAGCATTTAAGGCGCAGCAGCCCAGCCTGAGGGAGGGGCGGCAGGTGGGCCAGGGGGGTCCCCAAAACCTCTCTCACCAAAATGATCATGAGCTTGGCTGCTCTTCTTTGGGCCAGACCTTGGGCCTCCTCCTGCTCCCCTCCAGGGACGAGGGAGAGGCCACCCAACCCTCCCATTTTACAGATGAGAAAGTTGAGGTCCAAAGAAAGGCTACCACAGGCCAGATTCCAGCCCAAGTCTTGGTCCTTGGACAGAAATTGAGTATTCTAAAAAGCAAATTTTTAAAATGCTGCTCTTTCTCCTATAGCTTCAGTGCTTACATCATGGGGCCTCCCCTGACCCAGGAGGACACTGAGGCCTGGCCCAGGTTACTGAATTCCAGGCCTTAGGACACTTGCCCCAGGGCTCTTTCCTCTCAGCCCTGGGTCTTCCATGTGAGGAGCCCCTGTGGGGTCCCTAAGTGACCACTTCATCTCTCCCTTCTCTCTATGAAAGTTCAAGGGAATGGCTCTACCTCTCTGAATCCTGCCTAGAGAAGGGAGGTTGTCTGTTTACCTTATAAAATGCAGATATCTAGAAACAGCCCCCGGTGCCTCCATGTGACCCATCTGACCAGTCCCACCAGCTCTTGTGGCCTTCAGGCAGATGTTATCCACATCACAAAACATGGGGAGGTGGGGAGGGGGCTCCAGACCAGGGGATACAAGGCTGTGCCCGCCAGGGCCATGCCTGTGCCCATCTCTTCGACCCCCGCAGCCAGAGCAAGGTTTGCAGACACATCAGACTGAGAAGTCCAGGAATATGCCACCCAGGTGAAGGGCAGACGGGAGGGAGCGAGCGGGGCCTGGGCCACGTCGGTGCCCAGTAGCTGACTTCCCTCTGTGACCGCAGGTCGCCCTGTACAAGTCTGTGCCCACGCGGCTGCTGTCCCGGGCGTGGGGGCGGCTGAACCAGGTGGAGCTGCCCACCTGGCTCCGGAAGCCTGTGTACAGCCTTTACATCTGGACATTTGGCGTGAACATGAAGGAGGCAGCCGTGGAGGACCTAGACCACTACAGGAACCTGAGCGAGTTCTTCAGCCGCAAGCTGAAGCCGCAGGCCCGGCCCGTGTGCGGCCTGCACAGTGTGGTGAGGCCCGGGGCGGCTGGGGCGGTCTGAACGCGGGGAACTGGGCCCAGAGAGGACGGGTGACTTGACGTGGGCCACACGGATGTCCCCTCAGCCTCGTTGGACCCCGCTGAGGATTTCACCAAATGGGCCCCTGCCAGACCGTGGGATGCCCTGCTTGGGGGTGATCCTCTTCCCTGCTCAGAAGCGGGTGGGGGGCCTGCGGTCCCAGCCACCAGGGTCACGGAACCTGTTCCTCCCGTGTCATCCAGATCAGCCCATCGGACGGGAAGATCCTCAACTTTGGCCAGGTGCAGAATTGCGAGGTGGAGCAGGTGAAGGGGGTCACCTACTCCCTGGAGTCCTTCCTGGGCCCACGCGACCCCCCCGATGACCTGCCCCTCAGCAGGAACGGGGGCGGTAACGGCACTGGCAACGGTAGCACCACCAGCAAGGGCAGCGCCAGTGGCGGCAGTCAGGGTGAGTCAGCCGGGGGAGGAGCAGCAGCAGCGCCCTCTGGGGCCGCCTTCCCTGTGCAGGGCGAGGAGGGCGTGGCACTCTGCCCTGGGTCTCATCTGTCCCTGTGCCTGCTGCTCAGGCCTGGATTCGGGAGGGCCTGAGTTCAGATCCACTTAATAGCTAGTGGCGGGGGGACCCTGGCAAGTTCCTTCACCTCTGTCTGCCTCAGTTTCCTTAACTATAAAATGGGTGTATTAATAGCACCCGTTCCCGGGATTGCTGGATCGATTGAGATATGTGTGAAGCACTTAGCGTGGTGCCTGGCCCATAGTGGGTACTGTGTAAGTGCCAGCTGCCATCCTCGTTATCCTCATCACAAGGCAGTGGAGACCGTGTTATCCCCGTTCCGTGGCTGAGGAATGGCGCACAATCCAGGAGAAGGACCCTGCCCCCTGGCACCCAGTGGGGGCAGCCGCTTGGGTCCAGTACCTGGCTGCACAGGTGACCCTGGGCAAGATTTGAACTCAGGTCTTCCCGACTCCAGGCCCTGTGCCCTCTGGCGCCACCTAGAGTAAAAAAGTGGGAAAAGCGCCGGCTCAGCTCCCTGCCTGGGACGGGGGGCCCGGGCCTGCTTTGTGGGCAGTTTCTGCTGTGAGAGTGTCAGTGTCAGTCCAGACTGGCTCCAGGAGCCCCCAGGGCAGTATCTGCCAACAGTGAGCTAAGTGGAGACCGCCCTGGGTGATGGACCCCACCGGTGAGTCTGGAAGGTGGGGCTGCAGCTCAGAGCCCAGAGAGGGCGCCTCCCTTGCTCAGAGTCACCCAGCCAGAAGAGTCTGAGCGGGCCTGGGCCCAAGGCCGGCGCTGCCTTCCCAGACCAAGCTGGGCCGCACAAAGCTTCCTAGCCGTGTGCCAGCCTCGGGGACCATCCAGGACTGGCAGCCTGATGCTCTGCCATGCCTTCCTTCAGCTTCTACAGCCACAGCTCGCAACTCCTTCCAGAACCAGCTGGTCACCAAGGAGGGGAATGAGCTCTACCACTGTGTCATCTACCTGGCCCCGGGGGACTACCACTGCTTCCACTCCCCTACGGACTGGCGAGTGGCCCACAGGCGGCACTTCCCAGGTAGGGCTGGGGCGGCCTTGCCGTGCCTGTTGACCTCCATCCCCCAGAAAGGGCAGAGCTAGTGTTGAGGGAGTTCTGGAGCAGCTGGGCCTCAGCGAGCCTGGGCCTAAGACTGCCAGGGCCAGCCGGCCTGTACCCCAAGCGTGTCTTTGTGGGGGGCGACCTCTGACACAAGCGCTGTTGTGCCCCTTCCCGCCCCCTCCCTGCCCCCTCCCCGGGAGCTCGAGGGAGCATTTAGTCCAACACCCTCCTTAGACCGTCCCAGGCTGGACGCTCTGGCGCCAACCCTCCCTCTTTCCCCGATGCAGGCTCCCTGATGTCAGTGAATCCCGGCATCGCCCGCTGGATTAAGGAGCTCTTCTGCCACAACGAGAGAGTCGTCCTGACTGGGGACTGGAAGCATGGCTTCTTCTCCCTCACAGCTGTGGGCGCCACCAACGTGGGCTCCATCCGCATCTACTTTGATCGGGTGAGTGAGTCCACCACGGAGCTTGTTCGGCGGCAAATAGATGTCACGGAGTGCCCGCGCTCGAAGCCGGAGCCTGGTGACACAGACAGCGATGAAAAGCTGCATTTGCCTCCCAGGCCCGGTGTAGAGGGCAGCAAGGAGCAAGCTGGTGGGGCTGTAGGTCAGTCCCAAGGCCCCTCTTGGGGGCATGCGGCCTTTCCTGACACTCCCAGGTGGCTGGTGCCTCCCCACCAGCCTGCCCTCCCGTTCCTTTCTGACCTAGTCCTTGGCCTACACGGCATCTCCCCTCTGAGAGGTATCCCAGGTACCCGCTGATATACTGAGAGAATAGCGTGCACGAAGGGGAAAGACGGGTTGGTTCTGGGCCGGAATGAATTTTAAATGCCAGACACGGGACCTTGTAACTTGCACTGTGCCTGAGCTGTAGTAGGAAAGCACCTTGGCAAGAATCGGCTTTTAGCAAGTTTTGGTGAAGGCTGGATGGAGAGAGGAGGGCCCCTGCCCTGGTCTAGGCCTGGGGCGCTGAAAGCTGATGGGGTCCCCTCCTCGCAGCCAGTCTGCAGCTGAGGGCCAGGACGGGTAGCACACGCCAGAGCGAGTCCAGAGCCCCAGACGTCTCCTCGGGCCCTCGAGCAGACACTGATGAGATGCCCTTCAGCGGCAAGAAGGCGAAGTGGGTACAGAAAGTCAGCTTCACAAGTATAGGCCAGGGTCACGGAGTTAGGTAACATTCTGAAAAAGGTTTGGGGGTTCCAGTGGACTCCATGCTCACTAACACCAAACTGTTCATTCAAGGAAGCCTTAAACAGGGGCAGCTAGGTGGCGCAGTGGATGGAGCACCAGCCCTGGAGTCAGGAGGGTCTGAGTTCAAATTTGGCTTAGACACATAACACTCACTAGTTGCATGACCCTGGGGAGGTCACTTAACCCCAGCTGCCTCACCACAAAAAAAAAAAAGCCATAAACGTCTGGAAGGTGACACTAGGCTTTCAGTAGTGTGCTCTGGGATGGCCGCGGCTGTGCCAGCTCAGGGGGCTGCAGTTTTCAGAAAATCGAGGTCTGGTAGGAGCCGAAGCAGGATCGTTGGGAAGTGGGGAAAACAAACTGCCTCCCAGTGAGAGCCGGGGGGATCCCCCTCACTGGAAGACTTCATGTGAGATGGGGGAGACTTCAGTATAAAAACAACAGCTAACATCCCATGCGGCACGTTAGCATCTGGAAAGCACTTTCCAGATATAATCTCATCACGTCCTGGGAGCTAGGTGCCATTTTACAGATGAGGAACCAGAGACAGGCAGAGGTGACATCCCACAGTTAGCGGGTGCCTGAGACCACCTCTGAACTCGGGCCTTCCTGACTACGGACCCCTCAGCCACCCAGTCTGTAAAAGGGCTGCCATTTGTGGAGGGCCTGCGCTAGAGGCCCGCCATTTCAGACTAAACGGTGCAGGGGCTGCTCCCGCAACGATCGCTGCTGGGCCGGCTGCCTCCGGAGCAGCAGCTCTTGCTAGCTCTGGTTTCTGGCCTCCATGTGCTTGCTGACCCTTCTCTCCCTCCAGGACCTGCACACAAACAGCCCCAGGTACAGCAAGGGCTCCTACAACGATTTCAGCTTCATCACACAGTAACAAAGAGGGCATCCCCATGAGAAAGGGAGAGCACCTCGGAGAGTTCAACCTCGGCTCCACCATCGTCCTCATCTTCGAGGCTCCCAAGGACTTCAGTTTTCATCTGAAGCCAGGGCAGAAGATTCGGTTTGGAGAAGCCCTGGGCTCCCTCTAGAGCCAGAGTCTCCGCCACGAGGTTGACGCTGCCGAGGAAACTCCTTCGGATCGACGTGAGGGCGAAGGCTTCCCTGCGCCTGGCTGTGGGGAGCGACGAGGTGCCTTGCTCTGCTTGGACAGGCGTCGGGGGCACCGAGGACTTCGTCCCAGCGTCCCAGAATGGCCCCCAGCTCCACCAGTCAAGCCTTTGAGAAGGGAGGAGAGAGGGAACCTTGCCTTATCCCGTCCCTTCTGCCCCAAGCTAGTGCAGGCAGGGATAAGCTGGAGTTTATTTTTGGATTCTGCACCAATTTTATGAACTGGAAATACTAGGTCTATACTGCATCAGGTTCCATGGGTAATGATTTTCTTTTGAAGGTGGTAAACATTTTAATTCTCTTTCCGTTAGTGGCCATTGTGGGATACAGCCCAGTGTCTTAGCCTCCTCCCAATAAAGATTCCCCTGATTTCCTGGAGCTTTTCAGGCCTTAATCCCTCTCAGTGTCTAATCCACTGCCCTGTCCTGTTCCCCCACATCCTCTGGGTTCAAGGCAGGCCCTGGAGCCTGCCCTGGGCCCACACCCAGTCACCCCCTCCAAGGGTGGCCAGGGCTCCAGGAAGGCTTCTTTTTGGTGCATGGGGTGAAATGCATCCAGCGTTGACTGTGGACCAAAATCTCAGTTTCTTGAGCCCACTCCAGACATTGGGCTGATTTTTGGTGTTTGTTTTGATTTTTAAAATTTACTTATTTACTATGGAAATGGTGGGGGGAAAGCCAAATCTTCCTTTGCATTTACTACTGGGAACTTCTCTCCTCGTTCTTGCCAACATGGGCCGTCTGCTGGGGCTCGTCGGGGAGGCCGTGCATGCAAATGGGAGCCCAGGCTCCGACGGGCAGAGGCCCTTCTTGGACTAAGAACGCTGGAGAGAGGCGCCATGGCTGACGGGCCTCTCGAGGCTCACTTGGCTCAGTCACTAGCGGATGAACCAAGGGAGCAAAGAGCAGGTGTGGCCATTCCTGTACAGCCTGAGGCGGGAGCATCCCCTCCATCCTGCACACCTGCCTGGTTCCCATTCTAATCACCTCTGGTCCTTAGTCCAGACACGCAAGAAAGTCTTCTCAAAGCCTACGTGAATCGTAGTGTGTGAGCCCTGCTCGGAGGCGGGGCTCTGGGGAGCAGCTGTTTGCTACTTGAAAGGGGGCAGAAGAGGCCCCTCCCCCTCCAGTGGGGAGCAGGTACAGTGTGGCCAGCACCGCCCGGGCACCTGCACCAGGTCCGGGGAAGTTGCTGCTCTTGATTTCTGTCAGCTCGTGTTGAAAGAGGCAGGCAGACGGTCCTGCCCCAAGCCAGCTCTTTGGGGTGCAGGGTCATTGCTGTGTAAACAGACAGGGAAAAGGGGCTAGGTTTCCTGATGATGCTGTGAATTTCTCCTGCCAGGAGAAGTCATTGAATCCTCAACTGTATCAGTAGCACAGTCTTTTTGTATGTCAGTGGAAGCCTTAGGGAACAGTAATTCATTTCATTGCAAACATTTTCAAATAAAAAAAAATACACTGCAATCGCTCGTTGTGTGTGTAGTATCTTACATGTTCTCCCCAAATCAAGCCGCTGCAATAAATGGGTGTTTCCCCTCAGCCCTTGCTGGAGAGCGGAGGGAGGAGGGGAAAGGGAGAGGCTCGTGCTGTAGGAGCTCCCAGGAGCACCTGGAGCTAGGAGAAGGCGACCCTCAGGACCTGGATGCGGGCCACGTACCGCTGCACCTGCTGCCGCTCAGCTCGCAGCTCCTCCGTCAGATGGGCAATCTGCTTCTCCACCTGCAAAAGGAAGTAGGTGGGCCAGGGCCCCGCGTCTCACAGCACTGGGGCCCCGACTCAAATGCGGACCGTACCTGGTGAAGTTCCTGCCGAACCTGCCGTCCTGCTTCCTCCTCCTCTGGTCTGGGGTCCTCCGTGCTCAGCGCTAACCACCTCCTTAGGCTGCTCGCCTGCCTCTGCCAGGACCTGACGAGGAGGGACAGGACATGGCGGGCATTCAGAGAGGTGCAGAGGCCCGGGGTAGGCACGCCTCCCTCTCCAAGAAATCAAGGAATCCAGCCCCTGGGCTTCAGAGCTGGAAGGCAGCCCCAGAGATCATCTCAGTGCAATGAGGGGAAAGTGAGGTCGGACTATCTGTTAAAGGTTACACAGTTAAAGTCAGCATCTGAACCTAGGTCTCCACTGTGTTATGCTGCCTCTGGAAGTGCTGGGAGGGACCTTACAAAACATCTCACACAGGAGGCGATTAAGGCCTAGAGGGCAGCGATTTAAGGGAAGAACTGTGGTTTCCTGACGACCACCCAGTGCTCACTTCCCTACCCTCCGCAGGGGATACGGGGGAAATGTCCCCAAAGGGAACTCAGCCACTGTGCTGGACACTGGAGACAGGAGGGGAAGCCCCCAATGCAGAAAACAGTGATTCAGAAATGTGGGTACCTGAGGTGGAGGGGAGAAAGCCTTTGGGTGAGCTTTAACAGAGGGCTGGTACTAGTGCCCATGCTTCACAAAGTATTCTCAGAAACTGGGAAGTAAGGCGCCCTATCAGAATCCTTTATGAGACAAATAAGGGCCCTGTTATCTAAACTGGGGAAAGATAAAACACAGAAAACCAGGGGCCAATATCATGAATGAACACTGGCTTAAAAATTTTCAAAATGTTGCCCAATAAACTATACTGATCTGTCCAAAGAAATACTTCGTTGCGACCAGATGGGATTTCTGCCAGGGATGTGAGGATGGTTCAACATTAGGACAACAATCAACCTAATCGAGCATATTAAAAACCAAAACATCCCAAACCACATGATCATCTCAACAGATGCAGAAAAAGCCTTTGATGAAGTGCACAGAAGGACCTTTACTAATGTCATAAAAAGCACCTCTCTAAAACCAGAAGTAAGCATCACATACCACAGGGCCATCCAAGAACCTTTTCTAATAAATATGGAAGTGAAGCAAGGATGCCCATTCTCCTTGCTACCATTTATATGGTTCTGGAAATGTTAACAGAAATAAGACAAGAGAAAGAAGGATAGGTAAAGAGGAGAGAAAACTACTCATTCGTAATGACGTTCATGCGGAAAATCCTAGAGAATCCTCAGGTACTAACAGACAACAACTTCAGTAAAGCTGCAGGCTGCAAAATAAATCCTCAAAAATAGTAACAAACTCCAACAGGCAAGGAGAAAGGGAAATCCCATTCCAAATAATTACAAAGTGCATACAATATCTGGGGATCGGCCACCCAAAGCACACCAAAGACTCGCACGCAAAGCGTACGGAGGGCTCCTTAAAGAAAAGAAGAACAATCTGAACAGCTGGAGGAATATTCAGCATCCGTGGCTAGGCCATGCCAAAATAATAAAATTTACAGTACTACCAGAATTAACTTTACTCTTCATGCTGTACCAATGAAATTACCAAAAGGATACTTTACAGAATTTCATAAAATAATAACAAAAGTCATTTGGAGAAACAAAAGATCTAGATGTAAAGAGTAAAGATGAAAAGAAATAGGGATGGAGGAAGGGGGAATGGCCCTCCTAGACCTTAAACTACATTATAAAGCAGCAGTCATCAAACCATCTGGTACTGGTTAAAAAGTATCACTTATCATTTAGCCATCTGGTATTGGTTAGAAAATAGTCAGATAACAAAGGATAAATAGATGGGAGGAAAAAGGGGATGCCAACCCATATCCTGTAGGAGGCTCAGGGTAAAGATAAGAACCAGATAGAAACCTGGGATGAGAAGGAAGGGGCCAGTAGGGCACCCTTCTGGACGGTTTCAGCCATCTATCGGTCTCCTGGGGCCACACCCAGGGTCCAGCAAAGGTCTGGCTCATGGCCCAACAGGAACACTTCCCCTGTCCCTACCCTGTTAACTGTCCCATAGCAAAAGCTCTTTGGATCCAAGAAGGTATATAAGAGAGCATGGTTGGGTTCATGTGAAACAGAGGCAGCTGCCACAGCTCCAGGGCTTGGACCCTTACCCAGCACTGGATTCATAGCTCAAAGGGGCAGAATGCGTCACCAAAAGAGGTGAACAAGCCCCTGTCCAGAGCTGGGACACACATCCTGAGCTCTGGCCTGGGACTTAACAGACAAGTTACAGGTCCCAGCTCTGCCTCCTCCTCCCTGGGTGACCCTGGCTGGTCCCTTCCCATCTCCGGCCTTGCAGGCCTCCAAGGTCCCCCCCAACTTCAAGGTTGCTACTCTCCCACTGTGGCACAGCTGCCCGGGGATGGATGTTAGGACCCAAGAGTCTCGGCCTAGATCTGCCCCCAACGCTGGGCCCTTCCCACTACACCAAAGTGCCCTTAGGTGGCTCAAGGCACCGTCCTCCAAGAATGATGAAGGAATGTGTTCCCAAGCCACCTAGAAATGATTTCAGATTTTAATCACTGACTGGTGTCTATCTGTGCCAGATATCTCCCACCCAGAGGCACCGAGCGATACCACAAAAGCCAACATGTCCGTCACACCTGAGGTGGGCTTCAAAGGATGGGCAGGTATTCAAGAGGCCAAGCACGGGAAGGCAGGCATTCAAAGACCGGGAGACAGGAGAGCAGGGCATGTTGTGGGTCAGGGAGAGAGGAGCCATATGTGCTGCGGAGGGCTGTGGGGCTAACACTGGGCAGAGCCCCGAATGCCGGACAAAGACGTCTGTCACTGGCTCAGAGGCACGAGGGAGCCCAGGGAGTGAGGGGAGAGGGTCACTGGGGCGGGGCCTGTCAGGAGGCAGCCGTGCCCCAGCTGGCTGGTCATTGGCCGAGCGCCCCTGCGGGAACCGTGGCGGGGGCTCACCTGAGGCTCTGCTTGTTGGCCTGGTAACTGAACAATTTCTCCTGGATCTCCTCCAGCTCGGCCTCCAGCTCACCGCCGTCTCCCAGGATGCCCAGCACCCTTCCGCCTATGTCAGCCTGCACGCCCCCTGAGGAAGAGGTGGGGGTGCCTGACTGCCCAGGGCCCCAGGCTCATCTCTGGCTTCCGATTCTCCAGGTGGGGTATGTGGGGATCCCCAGGCTACCCCTGCCCTTTTCAGGGCTCAGGGAGGGTCAGAGGAGGGCCCGGGATCACAAACCTCAAGTTAGGAGAGGCCTCAGGGTCCCCACCAGGGCAGCTCCATGCTAGGCCTGCAGTCAGCAACACCCGAGTTCAAAGGCAGCCTCAGCTACATTCCAGCTGTGCCACCCTGGGCAAGTCACTTAACCTGTCTGCCTCAACTTCCTCATCTGTAAAACGAGGATCATCACAGCCCCAGCCTCCCAGGGTTGCTGTGAGGATCAACCATCTGTAAAGCACTTGGCAGGCCTCTCTGTTCTCTCTCTCCCACTGACATCAGGACCACAGAACCCTTCATGGAGGACGAGGGACTTGAAGACAGAAAGCCAGTTCTATTGGGCACCCGTGGGACCTTAGGCGAGTCACTGAACTCTCTGGGCCACGGCTTCTTCCTCTGTAAAAAGCGGGGCCAACGTGAAGTGGTCGCGAGGGTCCCTTGGTAATCCTGGGGCACCTCTCATTGCACCAAAGCATTTCTGCAAACCCACCGGGCCTGAGGATACCCCAGGCGGGGGGGACAGGTCCGCTGCCAGGGTGGGACAGCCCAGGGAAGGCCTCTGGGTCCGGAGCCTCACAAAACCAGTTTCTGCACTGGAGAGAGTGCCAGGAGGCAGCCCTGGGCACCCTGAGTATCCCACAGCAGCTTTGGTGACTCTTCCTCGAGCTCCACGCACCCCCAGGCACAGGGCCAAGATCCACATGGCAAGAGCATGGAGGGAGGGCTGGCTCCTGGGGACAGCATGAGGCCTGCCCACAACTACCCAGCTGGCATTCAGACCTCCCCGGAGACACTGCACTCTCCTCTCCTCCAAAGCTGGGCCCGCGGTGGTGGCCAGGCAGGAAGACAGGGGTCACAGTCCCAGGGCACCACTTACCTGAAGCTCCCAGGCCCAGACTGGGCCTCCCCTTGCTCCCTAGGAAGTCCTCGGGAAGAAGCAGGTGGCCACCAGGCTGGGGACACTCTGTCTCCGCAACAGCCGCGGGCTCTCGGGGCCCCAGCTCAGGGGGAGCTATCCCAACGGCGGGCTGGAAGGCGAGGACACAAGGTGACCGCCCTCTCTGGGGGCTGGGGGCAAAGGGTGGGGAAGCAGGACCCTGGTGCCGCCCTCCTAGGGCAAGGGTGAAGGGAAGCTCTGACACAGGGCACACTGCATGCGGAGTCAGAGCCGCAGCTCCAGATGAATCCCTAGCCCTCCAGGGCTCGTCAAATGAGGGGGTCTGGGGGAAGAAGCAGAAATGCCCATCTCTCTCAGATGCCTTCTACCTCGAGTGAACTTCCTCCTCCAATCATAAGACCCCCAGGGAACGGCCAGGCTTCACTGTGGGGAGCAGCGCCTCCCAGGAGTGTTGGGCCACTCGCACCGCCCCCACCCCTCCTGCGCTGACGAGCCGACAAGCCTGCTGGTCCTTGACCTGTCACCTTCCTCTTGGTCAGGACCACAAGGGACCAAGGACAGGTCACGTAACTCTCCACCACATCCGCCCAGGGACAAGGCCAAGGGAGGCTGGGAATGGGGCAGGCCTCAGGCTCCCACGCCACAAGAAAAATTCAGAAGCCGACCGAGGAGCTGAAGGGCTGGGAGCCTTGTGGACCTCAACTGCATGGAACAAACAGCCAGCCATGTTGTCCTTGTCTCTGGAAAAGCCTAGAGGCCCGTCCCAGGCAGCGGGTGCGGATTAAAAAGGGAAGAGGAGGCCAAAGAAAGGCCGAGAACAGGGAAGACAAAAAGGGCCACGTCACCTTTCTGTGAAGGGGACAAAACCTTCACGGTACCTGCGTGATTACTCTCCAGCATCTATGTACAGCTGCTGCTTCTTTTAGGCACGTGGGCCACAGACGGGGGATGAGACTGGGGCAGATGCAGGGAAGACTTCCTGCCCAGGGCTCATCCCCAGACATCCACCAGAGGAGGTCAGGGAAAGGGAGGGAAGGTAAACGGGACCCTGAAGCAACTCACATTTTGTATCGGGTCTCGGTCACCGGCTATGGAGGAGAGGGGAGGCGGAGTGGCCTCGGTGTGGAGGGGCCTGTGGCCACGAGGCTTTGGGAGGCTCCTGGAGTCTGCCCAGGGCCTGATGCTGGGTCCTGGTGCCGCCAGAGTGGCAGAGGGGCCAGGCTGGGCAGGGAGGAGGGGCACAGCTGTTTCTGCCAAAAGCCTAAGACACAGAGAGCCAGTCAGCCACGACGTTATTACAAGAATCACACAGAATCTGAGGGTGAGTGGGGATCTCGACATCCAATGTCCACCCACAACCCAAAGGTCCCCATTACAGCCTGCCCTATGGCGTACATCCTGCACTGCCTGAAGACCCCAGAGGAAGGGGCCCCTGCTGCCTCTCAGGGTGACTCATCCACCTCGGGACCGCCCTGACGGTGAGAAGGGTCTGCCTGTGGGCAGTGCACACTTAATGCCTCCTCCCATCACTCCTCGCAGGGGCACCCCCCGAAATCCTTGAAGACAGCTCCCATCCCCAGCCCAGCAAGATGTCACTTCTCCCAAGTAAACCTCTGTTCAGCAGGTCCTCACATGACCTGAACTCAAAACCCTTCCCCACCCAACAGCCCCCTCTAAACTCATCTGAGTTCATCAATGACCTTTTTTTTTAAGGCAATTAAGTGACTTGCCCAGGGTCACACAGCTAGTAAGTGTCAAGTGTTTGGTCTGAGGCCATATTTGAACTCAGGTCCTCCTGACTTCAGGGCCGGTGCTCTATCCACTGTGCCACCCAGCTGCCCCATCATCAATGGCCTTCTTAAAAGAGGACATGATAAATACCCTTTGACCTAGCAATACCACTCATAGGTCTGTGCCCCAAAGAGAGCAAAGAAAAGGGAAGAAGACCCGATGTACAAACACATCTTGGCAGCCCTTTTGGTGACGGCAAACAAGGAAACTGAGGGGACGTCCATCCACTGGGGAATGGCTGAAGAAGCTGCGGCCTGTGGCTGTGATGGAGGATGACTGTGCTGTACGAAATAATTCAGAAAGGCCTCGGGAGACTTCTGTGAGCTGACACGAAGTGAAGTGAGCAGGGCCAGAAGAACACTGTGCTGGGGGACAAAGAGCCGTGAAGGATGTCGCTGCTCTGGCTGGGACCACGATCTAAAACAGTCCCAAAGGACTCACGCTGAGAAATGCTCTGCGCCTCCAGAGAGAGAACTGAGCTCCGAATGCAGATCGAGGCAGACTTCTCCTGCTTTCTGGACTGTTCTGGTTCTGTGGCTGCAGTTGTTTTGCACATGGCTAATATGGAGATGTTTTGCATGACTGCACATGTAGAACTGGTGTCAGGTTGCTTCCCTTCTCCAGGAGGGCAGGAACTGTGCATGGGAGTGCAGTCTAAAACTGGGCCCCCCCAAGGGGGCCAGTTCAGAACTGGCTCACTTTGGGATTTGGGGGGACAGCATCACATGCCCTTCGAAGAGTAGGTGTTCCCAAGGGGTACCAATCAGCTGTGATTGGTCAACACACTAGGAAGTGGGTGGATTCCTTAGATCACTCAGTCCACAAGGGCCAATATCACCCACCACCCAAGGAAATACCATCCCCAATCTGGGAGGTGTCTCCACCCAAGCCTGAGTAGATAAAATCAGTTCAAGCCGGGGTTGGAGTGTGACCAAGACAAAAAGATTCAATGCGATCTCATTATCAGAGACCTCCTTCTGGAGAACTCTGGACAGAAGGCTGGCAGGGTGGAGCTCTGAGTCTCCAAGGCACAGATTGCCAAGAGAAATCATTTTTAACAGCCCCCAAACAGGACTTCTCCAACTGGCTCTTGGTAATATCCACACTCTGCTCCGCTCTTCTACCCTCTGGGGCCAAGCAGAAAACAACTCATCTCTCTTCCCTATGATAGCCATCCGACACTTGGGCTGTGCAGGGTCTGGCCTTACTCTCTCAAACTCCACTGGCAGCTGGGGTGGCCAAGGCACACCTGTTCCATCTGCCCCCAGGGGTCTCAGGGACCCTCGGGGTTCAAAGCCTCCCACTTTTCCAGTCTTCTCCCCTCAACATGCTCTACAATCCAGGAAAGAGGCCTCCCTGCCATCCGCTCCTCCAGCAGGAGGCTCCATCGGCTGGCTCCAGGCCTCTGCCTCTCGGCACCCCTGGCTTCTGGTCTCCTTAGTCTTCCGGGCCTTTCTCCTGAAGGTCGCCTTCCTCCTCCTGTGGACGCACCGAGCTGAGTTTATGAGCTCTTTCTTCCTCTCTTTGTTGGCCCTTCTTTGTATCCCGCGGCTGGCAAGGCGCCTGGCGGGTAACAAGTGCCCCACCAATGCCTGCCGATTAATTCTTTAAACTGAAGCTCACTGGGCAGTGCCGCGAGGATCCACACTGGTCTTCCTTTGCGTCTTCACCATCCCCTTCTCCACACCTCCCGTTCCTTGGGGAATGACTTTTCTCCATCATGTTTTAAATGGCCTCTGACCAAAGCTAGGCCCAGGCCTCCCCGCCGGCTCTCTCCATAGCTCTGGAGCGGGCGCCTCCTCCATGCCAGGGAGAGCCAGGGCCCCCAGAGGGCTCCTCCTCCACCTCGTGCCAGCCAAGGAGCTGTGAGCTTCTCCAGGTCAGCCTTCAGAAAGCGCACACGCGCGCGCTCCAACCCCCGTCACCAGAAGGCGCTCTCCTTCCCCAACACCTTGGTCTCTTGAGTTCTTTCTGCCTCAGCGGACCCACCCCCTGGACAACCTCCAGGAAAACAGGAAAATGGAATTGAGCTGGAAGGTCCAGCTCAGGAAAGAAGGAGGCCCTGCCCAGGGAAAGGGCTGGCTCTGGGTCCCAGAGGGAGCGACAGGAGCCCAGGCTTGGCCCCAGGTCCCAGCCATTTTTCTGATGTCATGACTCTGTCCTGGCTTTCCTCAGATCCTTGGCCCCTAAGGCTCCAGAGGGCAGGCCCAAGGCTACCTGGACAGAAGGCGACGCCAAGGCCGGCCCAGCTCAGCATGCTGCTCCATCCTGGGCTGCTGCTGGCACATGGAGGCAGGTTTACTGATGAAATGGCCAGGGACCGCCCTAGCTTTCATTCTAAAGGTCTGAAGACACTGACCTCTCTCTAGGCCACAGGGCAGGACTGAGGCTCACCCCTAACTCTGGAATCAAAGCTGATTTGTCCCGACATTCAAGGATTTCCCAACCTATCTAACCTAATTTTCCTTAATTTCTTCCAGCTAGGCAAGTAGTGGCACAGTGGATACAGCACTGGGCTGGGAGTCAGGAAGACCTGAGATTAAATTTGGCCTCAGACACTTAGCAGCTATGTGACTCTGGACAAGCCACTTCATTTTTGTCTGCCTCAGTTTCCCCACCCACAAAATGGGAACAATGATAGTACCTACCTTCCAGGGTTGTTGTGAGGATCTAATGAGATAATATTTGTAAAGCAGCGCCTGACACATAGTAGGTGCTTACTAAATGTTTCCTTCCTAGTGGGTGCCCACGGGCCACGCCCGTGCTCGCTGTGGGCTCTCTTCTCCTCTCCCCAGAATTCCCTTCTTTCGGCCGGGCCAGCCTGGAGGTGACCTGCCCTCCCCCAATTCGAGCCTTAACCCCCCGCCCCAGAGACAGGTCTTCCGTCTAACACGCAGAACTGGGATCGCGCACGGAGCTGACACGGTCGCCGTCTGGTGTTTCCTGAGGCCTGTTCTGCCTCCTCAGCCGATGATCACACTGGCACCGTGCGTCTACCTAGCACGAGGGGGTGCACCAAGGGCTTCCAGAGGCAGGCACTGATCTGACTCCCATTGCAGAGGAGCAATCCAGGCAGGATTCTAATAGCATCTCTCACCTAAATTTCCAGGGACAAGGCCCAGATCCGGACCTGACACACAGCAGGTGCTTAATCAGTGCTTGTCAATGGACTGCTAACACTTGGCCTCTGCTGGGTGTGAGACATGGTGTCTAGATCTAACTGGCCAGAAGAAAGCCCAAACCAGAACAACAATGGCCAGGAAGTAGCCCTGGACTCTCCCGGCCAGCGGCTCTTGGCCACGGCCTTCTCTGCCTGGCCCTCCTGTACTGTCCTTAATGGGTCAGGATGAAGCATTGAGGGAGGAAGGGGACCTCTGCTGGCCAGGTCAGCCCAGGGTGAGATGCACGCGTGCAGATGGAGACCTGGGCACTGGAGAGGCCCGCAGAGGGCACCAGGCACATGGTCCCTGCATGGCCCACGTGGTCACAGAGCCCTAAGCACTGCCCTGACACCGGCGCTCAGCACAAAGAGTCGCTTCTCCTGCGAGGCCTCAGTCTCCCCATCTGCACCATAGGATGATCACCCTCCTCAGGCTGCTGTAAGCAGTGCACTCTCCCCCTTACCCAGGACACAGGCGCCCAGCAGTGCCTTCCTTCTCCAGAGAGTCCAGAAGGAAGCTGGGACAACGAGGCTGCTTCCTTATGGGCCGGACGACGTTCCTGGGAAGAGACAAATGGCACAAGCTTGCTGACCCAGCACTTCTGGAACTTAGGTGGGCTAGAGGGGGAAGCCAGGGACCGCCAGCACTTTGGCCCTGGCACTCTCCAAATCTCTCATTCCAGTCCCCTCATCTAACAGAGGCCAACACTGAGGACTTGGCCAAGGGTGTAACAACAGGTGAGCCAGGGCCTGTCCTCCAGGTCAAAGCCCACCTCCTCCAGGAAGCCTTCCCTTTGCCCATTACTTCCTGTTTGTCCTGTGTGCTTGCACACAGCTGTTTGCGGGCTGTCTCCCCAAGCAGACTGGGTGCTCCCTGAGGCCAGAGCCTATCCCCAGCACTTAGCCCAGTGCCTGGCGTGCAGTAGGTAGGTTCCATAGCGACTCCAGGGCTAGATAAGCGCCAACAGAAGCCTCCCTCCTCCCCCACATCCCCATCCTGTCATGCCCCGCCCCGCCCCTCCCCTCCCCCCGCTAAGGCTTTGGGGCCGAATGACCAGTCACAGGGTGAGTTCATTCTTTTCTTTGAGGACTCTGGAGGGCCAAGGGGTCACCCAAAGCAGGCATGGAAAGGTGGGGGAAGGGGCAGAAGAGGAGGGGGAAAGGAGAAAGAATGAGAAAAAACCATGTTCAACTTTGCCAGCTTCAAAAACCCCGACCAAACTTAACACATTAAGATCTCCGGTCTGAGCTCGAGGGCAGCTGGAAACCTGCCAGGGACCCCAAGGGAGGGGGCCAAGCAGGCGGGTCAGCCAGCTGACGCAGCGCCCACAGTGACCTGAACTCAGTAACTGGTCAGAAATAGCTCATGGATACGCCTGACTGGGAAAGGAGGGCTGGCGGGGGCCCCAAGTGGCCTGGGAGTCCCTGTCCACCTACGGGCCAGAACCAGGCCCGAGACAGAGGCGGGCATGGCCCCTCGGCAGACTGGACGGGGTCACTCACAGGTCAGGGAGGTAGGGGTCTCCAGAAGCCAGCTGAAGGGGCCAGCCCCAGGGCTTGCTGGGCCGCTGAGGCGCTCTTGACTGTTCCACATCCACAGCAGCTTCCCCAGTGGCAGCAGAGGGGGCATCGGTAACGGGGACCTCGAACGTCACTCTCTTCCAGGAGGCAGCTCTGTCCTTGGCCAAGGCCTTGCGCTTCCAGCGTGTGGCACACCGATGTACAACCTGGTGCAGATTGCGGGCCACCTGCCCAACACACGGTGATCCCCGTCCTAAGGCCAGAGCAGGCCCCTGGGGGCCCCAGCCTCCTGTGGGCCCAGCCACCTGCTATGAGCCACGCAGAGGCCCCATATGCCAGTCAAGAGAAGCCTGCCTCCCCCTGCCCAGCCCATCTGACCATCTCAGGAACAAAGGAGGAGGAAGAGAAGACGGGGCCCTTACCTGGGCCTGTCGCTGGGCGTGGAAATGCCCACGGAAGCTCTTCATGCCAGCCATGAACGTCAGGAGGCGGGTGACGCCCTCGTGAAGCAGGCTGCCGTGGTAGGCCAGCGCGGCCCGCTCTAGCCGGGCTTTCTTCCTCCTCCGCTCCAGCACAAATCCCAGCCACGCATCCCAAACCTTCAACAAAGGTAGCCCATGTGACCACAGGGCAATGTGCGTGGGCTCCAGGACCAAGGGAGGACGGCCATGTTCCCTGCACAGCAGAGTCCAGGAGGCAGGTCCCACGACCGCTACAAGGTCACCGTTTCTGGCCATGACACGTGTATCTAGAAGCACCACGTGGGCGTGGAGGAGCTTCAGAAGGAGTGCCACGAAGGACTCGGGGGCCAGGCTGTCCAGCCTCCTCATGTCACAGAGCGAGGCAGCAGAGGAAGGCTCTGGGTAACACCCACGGGTTGTCCGGGCCCCACCACCCACCCACCGGAGAGGAAGCCTGCAAGGTGAGTGTGACATTGGGGCATTCATGAGTCTCCAGATCAATTCCACAAACACTTAGCACCAAGGAATGACGGGCCGGGCACTCTGCTCTGTGGCAGGGCTCCTGCTCCTATGAGGGGAGAGGGCCAGGGGCACGATTGTGCTGCAGCAGAAAGAGGCCTGGCTTTGGAGGTTCACATGTCACCTGGGCCCCTCACCACCACTCCTGGCCTCAGTCCAGGAATCCTCCTGTCAAACAGGAGCGTGCAGGGCCTTCCCAGGGCTCACGTTCTAGGAGGCCCGGAGCTAGAGCCCGGGGAGAAGGGAGTGAGCGCCCCGTTTGGGGCCAGGGCCACCTACCTTTCCCTGCAGCGTGAAGGACCAAAGCCAGAGAGCCCGAACGGTGGCATGCTGCTCCCGCTGCTTCTCCCCAAGCTGCAGGCCAAGGACGAGGGGTCAGACATGCCACGAACGGGCCGAGGAGAAGACAAAGGCAGTTCAGAGAGGGAGCGAGGAAGTGGGGGAAGGAGGGGAGAGAGGAGGGACAGAGACAGAGAGACGCAGAGGTAGAGGCAAAGGCAAAAAAGACAGAGACCAAGAGAGGAGGGAGGCAGACAAAGAGACACACGGTGAGACAGAGAGACCGCAGAGCGACAGCCCGGGCAGAAGAGGAGAGAGAGCAGAGGAGGAGGAGATTACCAACAGCTGGAAGAGAAGAGGGGATGGAGTCCAGGCAGGAGCAGAAGTGCATGCCAGCATGCGGGGCCTCCACAGTGACATGAGAGGGTCCCCAAGTGCCCACTGGCAGCCCCACAGACCAGGGAGGATGTGGACAGAGGATGCCCCAAGGATCCTCCACAATGCATCAGGGCGAGCTGCCTTCATCACCCTTTCTGCTGGGACAGAACCCACCAAAGACCAAAGGCCCTGACTTCCCACTGGTTCCCCAAAGAGGGGATGAGGGTCGTGGAGAGAGGAGAGGACACAGGCTGCCCACCTGGCGCTTCCACGTGGAGAAGGAGGAGCGGCGGAGTCTCTGAGCCATCAGCTGGACACTCTGCCTCTGCAGGAGCTAAGGAGAAAGCAACAGGGGGCTGGCTCCCGGCGCTCCAGGGATGCCAGGCCTCAAGGCCTGATACGCTCTACACTCTCCCTGGACTTGAGCGTGGTTTCCACCGAAAGGAAAAACTAGCCCCTCCGTTCCAGGAGCAATGGGCCAGCCCCACCCTGCCCGTGACAGAGCCTCGGCGTGGCTGATGTGGCCAGCCTGGCCTCATCCGGGACCCTTCCCATGCCCTGGGCTCCGGGCTTAGCTCCGGCAGCAGCTCACCATCTTCCGGATACACGCCACGTGGTACTTCTTCCAGCGGGCCATGCAGGTCTTCAGCAGCCTCCTCCCATGGTGCTGCGCAGCCCGCCACAGCTGGGCTCTATGCAGGGAAGCCCTCCGGCCACACTCCCGCCAGTGCTGAAACGAGGCTCGGAGACGACCTAGGGTGAGCAAAGCCGAGTGAGGACAGCACTGGGGAAGGTTGGAGGGGCCGAAGACGCCCAGCCACCTTCGAGGGCTAGAGAGCCCCCAGGCCAGGGCGCCCATCCCCCTCCTCGCCAAGTCACCTGTGCTCACTGAGCCCCTCTTCTGTGCCAGGAAGACGATGGTGGGACCAAAGCACCCTTTAGACGGCTTCTACGTGATCTGGGGGGTCACCCAAAGACTTCAAAGAGGGAACAACCAGAGGGAGGCAGGGCGTGTAGCAAACTCACTGGGCCAGCCAGCCCCTCCCTCACCTCGCTCCCACCGCTCCCTGGCCTCCGTGGCGGCCACATCTTTCTGCTGCCGGGAGCGTATCCTCAGCGATGCTGTGTCCCTCCAGTGGATGGCCACCTGCGGAAGGGAGGAATGGGCCGGGAGAGGAAGGGTGCCTTTGACACCCACTTCCCGAGTGGGCGCTGGCAAACCAATCAACCAGTAAGCATGTATTATGCACTAACTAGGTGCCCAGGGCAGTCCCTGCCCTCCAGGAGCTTACATTCTATCGAGGAAGACAACAAACACACCCAAGTCTGTACGTAGAGCAGACAGGCAGGGAGCACGGGAGGGCCTCCCACAGGAGGCAGGGCTTGAGCTGAGTGTGGAAGGGAGGCAAGGAGGGAGGGCTTCCCGGGCACAGTGGGCAGCCCGGGCAAAAGCAGAGCACTGTGTGTTAAGAACAGCAAGACATCCGAAGCCAGGGGAGGATGCAAGGCGGAAGCCCCGGGAGGGGACTCGGAAGACACAAAGGGGCCGCGCCATGCCGGAGGACTTTGTCTGGGACCCTGGAGGCTGGAGGGAGCCGCAGGAGTCCAGGAGGGTGACCTGGGGCCAGACCATGCACTTTAGCAAAACCTTTTTGGCAGCTGAGTGGAAGCTGGCCCGAAATGTGGAAGAATCGGAATGAAGGAAAAAGCTGCAATCATGCTGTGCCATGTACCACGCTAGGCACGGCGACTACAAAGAGGAAAACCAAGACGTTCTGGCTTGAGAACTGCCCCCTCTACCCGGGGAGAAGAAGACACAAGAGGAAGCCGAGGCTAAGCCCAGCTCCCAGGGGTGGACGGCAGGGCCTCAGGCGCTCGAGGAATGGAGTCTCATTAGGATGCGGCTGCAGCAGTGCTGGCAAGAGGGGCTGACGTCAGTCTCGAGTAGGCCCGAGACCAGCGAGCAGGGGACGGGTGTGGCGGGTGTGGCAGCTGACTGGAGGCAGAGTGGGGAAGAGCAGGGTCTCAGAGGGGTTAGGCCTGGGGGCGCCCTCCAAGGCCACAGGCAAGTTGGGAAGAGGGGAAGGTCTGTGCTCACGTGTCATGAGCTTAAGTAGCTATGGGCCACCCAGGCTGAAATGTCCACTGGGCGATACGAGCCTGGGGTCCAGGACGGAGAGAAGGGCTGAACGGGCAGAAAAACACGATGTCATCAGCACAGCTCAGAGAGCCAAACCTCTGGGAAATGAGAAAACCAACACAAAAAGAAGCCGGGAGAAAAAGGGAAGAGGACATAGGAGAGTGAGCCATGAGGGTCGCTGACAGTGGGCAGCTGTAGGTGGCCGGGGAAGTGGGGGGAGCACCGCGAGAGAGGCCAGAGAGGCCGCAGAAAGGGCAAGGAAGAGGTCAGAGAAAAAGCCATGGGCTGCAGCAGCTGAGAGGGAGGCACCCCAGCCTAGCCATCGGGCAGAATTCTGACCCCAAAGGCCACGGCCAAGTCACAGGAAAGCAGAGAGGTGTGTGGGCAGGCGCCGGGCTGGCCAGGAACGTCAGCAGTGGTGGGGGAAGGGAGCCCAACAGACACCAGAGGAGAAGCACTGGGGCAGGGAGAAATGCTGGGGAGCCCCGAAACTGTCCTGGGTGCAGGAACAGGCGTCACCTGGAAGTTCCATCCCCCAGAGCCAGGGCGAGAGGCCCGGTCACACGTGAGGGGGGCCCCTCTGTGGCCGAACAAGGAACAAGTTCCAGAAATAATGGCCTCGCTGCTGTTCAGTCATTAGTCGTGTCCGGCTCTTCCCGACCCAGATCCTGGAGGGGCTTGCCATTGCCTTCTCCAGCCCATTTTACACAGGAGGAAATTGAGGTAAGCAGAGTCAAGTGACTTGCCCAGAGTCACACAGCTGGTTGGTGTCTGAGGTTGGATCTGAACTCAAGAAGAGGAGTTCCCTGACTCCAGCCCCAACACTGGGTCACCTAGCTGTCCCCAGCAATGGCCTACACAATTATAAAACACTTCACACAAATAAAGACAGATCTAAAGAACTGGAGAAACATTAACCGTCCATAAGTGTGTCGAACTAATATGAAAAAGTGATAATTCTACCTAAACTAGTTTACTTATTAGGTGCCATGCAAATCAAAGAACAACAAAACTTATCTGGAGGAAAAATGGTCAAAAGTACCAAGAGAATCAATGGAAAGAAAAAGTCGGGGGGAAGGGGGCCTGGCCGTGCCAATCTCAAACTGTCCTATGAAGCTGTATCACGAAGACAATCTGGTACTGGAGAGGAGACAGAGGCTCATCAGCGGAACAGATCAGGGACACGATATACAGAAGCAAGAGAGCACAGTAACCTCGGGGCCGATAAGCCCGAAGATCCCCACGACAGGGGAGGAGCTCGCTTTGACAAAAACCGCCGGGAAAACCAGAAAGCAGCCTGGCAGAAACCAAGCAGAGACTAACGTCTCCTCCCACAGACCAAGATAGGTTCAAAGTGGGTGCATGGTTTAGACATAAGGGGAGACATCATGAGCAAATTACCTGACACATCTAAAGAGAACAATTAGAGAGGTTTACAGGAGGTACAATGGATAATTTTAACTCATAAAATTAAGAAGTTTTTGCACACACAAAATCAATGCAATTAAAATTTAAAAAGAAGCAGGAAACCAAGGGGGTAAATCTTTGCAGTAAGTTTCTCTGATAAAGGTTTCATTTCTAAGATGTATAGGGAACAGAGTCAAATTTACAAGAAGAGCCATTCACATTGATAAATGATCAAAGGACATGAATAGGTAGTTTTCAAAGGCTAGCTATGGCCATATGAAAAAATGCTCTAAAACACTAATAATTAGAGAAATGCAAATTAAAACCACTTTGAAGTACCACCTTATACTCATTAAATTGGCTAAGTGGAGAAAAGGAAAATGACAAATGCTGGATGGGATGTAGGAAAACTAGTATACTGGTGCATTGCTGGTGGAGCTGCACAATGGTCCAACCATTCTGCAAAGTAATTTGGAACTCTGCCCCAAAAGCCATTCCACTGTTTGTATCCTTTAACCCAGTAATGACACTACCGGGTCCATAAATATCATCGTCACCCAGAGGAGGACACTGAGGCTCAGACAAACAAGGAAGATGCCCACTGGCAAGATGGAAAGTAAGCCCAGGGCTCCTTTCCCCACAGCTTCCCACCCGGGCACTCCAGCTGGAGCACAGAGGGCTGGCTCAGAGTGTGTTTTACACACACACACACACACACATACCCCCCCGAGGGACACACTCTAACTCTGGCCCACTGTTTCAGAGAAGCAGCCCTCTTTTCTAGAACCATGTCAGGGGGGCCCAGTTTTCCTGCTGCCTGGCTCTGTCACTGTCCCCTCCCCTGTCTGCCCCGTGGTTTGGTCATCTGCATCATGGGCACAATCAGCCATTCACGGCCTCCCTGCCAGGATCCCTGGCAGAAGGAGATGAGGATTCTCCTCCCTTCCCTGCCCTTGGGGCAGGGCCTGTGCCCCTCGCTGGCCAGCCCCAGCCCTCAGCACACCTTCCAAAGGATGGCTCTCCTGTAATGCTCCTCAGCCCGCAGTGTCTTCCTGGCCTCCTCCGTCTGGGCTGCAGTGTTTTCCCTCCAGCGACGAAACACCCACCTAAAAGGCAAAGCGGAGAGAGCAGCTGAGCAGTCCAGCTCCTGCCCCTCAGCCTGGGTCCCCCCACCCAAAAGCCTGCTTGGGGAAGCCCTGGAGCAGGAAATGTGGACATCCAGGCAGGTGAGACACCTCCAAGAGATGTGTGAGGGCGAGGGTAGCCAGCCCCTACCCCAACAGCGGAGAGCCCCCTCGAAACAACACAGTGTGGACCAGGCACTTCTCAAACTGCCCAAGCAGAAGACGCTGTTCTCTGTCCTTTACGGTCTTTGGCCTTTGTACCTCTGAGGCTTAGTATGGGGTCTGACACCCAGCAGGGGCCTCCAAGATGGTCACTGAAGTGACCGGCTGGCTGCTTCTCAAGTCAAAGACGCTGGTATCTTCTCCCTTACTAGACTCTGGGCTCCTTACAGTCATGGGCTGAATACATCACCCTGACGCCAGGCTCTGCACACAGCAGGTGCTTAATAAATGCAATGTGGGGGGCAGCTAGGTGGTGCAGTGGATAGAGCACCAGCCCTGGATTCAGGAGGACCCGAGTTCAAGTCCGGGCCTCAGACACATAACACTTACTAGCTGTGTGACCCTGGGCAAGTCAATTAACCCCACTGCCTAAGCAAAAAACAAAACAAAACAAAAATGCAACGTGTACTTGCCCCTGTGATTCTGAGCACAGGAGGCCCGGGGATGCTGCTGGTGCCCAGGTCCCTGAGGAACCAGCAATGAAGGCTGGCGCGCCCCTGGCGGAACCTACCACAATAGCTCCCGGTGATGCTGATCTTCCCTCTCTGCCACCTGGCGCAGGATGGCTTTGACCCTGCCCTGATAAATCTGCAGGAAAGAGAGCCTGGGGTTCACCACAAGAGCCCGGGCCGTGGGCCCAACATCCCCCTCCTTGGTCTTGGTCCACTGGGCCTGCCCCCAAATCCAAGAGGGTCCTATGTGTCCCCCACCACTGAAGGCATATGGCCGGGGAAGCCAGGCTCTTCCAACCGCACGGCTTGACTCCGGAACCACTGGCCGGCCCGCCTGCCTCTGGGATACTTCTCTTGGGACACTTTTGGGGGGGTCAGGATCCCCAGACTGAATAAAGGCTCATCTCTGCCCTCAGGCAGGGCAGCCCTGTTCATCTAGGGCCTACACCGAGAAGGCTTCCAGAGTGCTGAGAACAAACTGCCCCTAGACAGACCTGAGTCAGCAGGGAGCTGGTGACATCTGAAGTCCCCAGGGACTAAAAATGGATCCTGTGGTGTTTAACGGGGCTGGGCCTGAGGCTAAAATGGCCAGGCCATGCCAGAGTGCCCCACAGAGGGCCCTCTCCTTTCACACGATGCCTTTCAGCCACACTGTTCCTGGCCTCCTCCACAGACTCTACCACCCGGGGCCTCCTGGCTGTTCTTTCCATCTCTGGCCTCCTCTGGATCTCCCCCAGGCCTAGAAGACACTCCACTTTCCCCTCTCATCTCCACCCAACTCGGCCTTCCCTTTGCAGAAGGCCTTTCTGGCTGCCTCCTCACTGCAGGCATCATCCTTCTGAGATTCCTTCAGCTGACTGTGGCTAGAGCTTGTGGGCACACGGGAGCTCCCCAAGGGCAGACACCTGCCGTTACCTCTGTCTGTACGCCTGACACTTAACAGGCTGCTTGTAGACAAGAGGAAGTGAGGCTCACAGGGGAAGATGCTGGCCTGAGGCCACACGGAGGAGGTGGGAAGGCAGGAGTTGTGAGCAGAGCCGGGCACAGGGAGACCAGGCCTGTGGTACGGGCCCTGGGGCCAGAGAAGAGGAAAGCCTCCTACCATCCATGCGGCCAAGGCCCTGCGCAGCAGCACCTGATGGTAATGGCGATCGGCACGAGCCGCCTTCTGCCACTTCACGTTCTGCAGGGCCATGTACTAGAGGGACACACACACACACACACACACACAGAGAAGGGAAACGTGAGCGGAGAACGGGCACAGTAGCCAGGGGGCGGGGAGACAGGCTGGGGGTGGGGGAGATAGGAACCTCCTTCTGGGCATCCCCTTCCAAGGGGACCAGGAGGAGCCCAGGTACCAGGGCAGGCCGAGGGCAGGGCGGCCATAGGTGTCATCCCCTGCAGGGCCTGGCTCTGGCTGATGCCCTTTGATGGCACCTCCCCAGGTAGGTCACCCGGGCAGGTCATCCAGGACCACCCACAGCTCACCTCTCGCCATTTGCTCCAGGTCAAACGTAGAAGCAGACCCGAGTTGAACACTGCAGCCCTCATCTCCCCGGCCTGCCTGAAGGAGGGAAATGGGGCATATGGTGGCTTGGCCGGACAGCCTGGGCCCAAACCTCCAGCCCTCCTTTCTACCCAGATCCCTAGGAGGAACAGGAGCTTTGAGATGCAGCAGGAGAACCCGTGAAACCCAAGCTGGACCAGTCCTCCCTCCTCTGCCCTGCCACGGCTGGTCAAACCCTGGGAGGCTCTGGGGGTCCTGGAGGGCAGTGCTTTCGCTGCCAGGATCTGAGTCTGACGAAGAGGTTGCTTTCAGCAGGGCAAACGTCAGCAAAAGCTGTATGGAGGAAGGAGCCTAAGGAAGGAGGGATGGAACCAGATCTTGGAGGAAGGGGCCAGTGTCAAGGGGTCGAAACCAGAGGCAGGGGAGTCAGTGCTAAGAATGGGAGATGAAACAAGATGTGGAGAAAGAGAGCAGGACCAGGACAGAGAACAGGGAGACTTAGGGGGGACCCAGCTCCCACCTCGGGGGCTCTCCTTCCTGCAGAGACTGGACTAGAGGGCAGCTAAGCCTCCTGGGTGACCATGGGGTAAGGGGGACAGCAGCACGAGTCAGAGCTGGGCAGTGCCTTGAACGCTAGACAGAGCATGAGAGTGACATCATCAAACAGACAAAACCAGGGCCTGAAGGGCTTTGAGTCTGTGCCCAGAGAGGATCCTTTGAAGGACGCAGACTCCGGCCTGGAGAAGACCCCTATGGGCCATGAGAGCTGTTTCCTAAGTGTGTGCAGGGCTGCATAAACGGGCCCCACTGGGCCGAGCCCGGAGCAAGGCAGGAGGGCCCAAGAGGCCGATTTAACATGGAGGCCAGGCAAACTTTGCCAATGAGTAGGCGGTGCCTCCCGGGACCCTTCCACTCGGCATCATAGAGGCAGAAAGGACCTCAGAGGTTCCCAGGCTCACCTTCCCAAGGAGACCCCAAAGGTCAGGGTGGTGGTGTGGGACCTGCACAAGCTCACACAGCGGGTCTGGCGAAGGTACCCCACCCAACTCAGGGAGCTCTCCCCCACATCCCTGAGGAGGGGCCGCCACCTCTCACTGAGCAACCACTGAAAGGAGTCTTGAGGAAATTGGCTGCATTCAAGACCTCTTTAGAAGCGCCAGGCCACGCTGGACCTCCTTCTCTGGCCGTCTGGGGCCAAGCAGAACAAAGGTAACTCCTCAACCGCCCCAGACACCTAGGTGTGGCTCCTTCCGCTGACCTCCTCAGGCCAAGCACTTCAGTCACGGCGCTCTGCAGGGACCACATCTTTTCCAAAAGGATGGGCCCCTGCAGCTGGCTGACCAGGCCAGCACCCGGTGGGGGCACGATCTCTCCCCTCTTCCATCACTGTCTCAGGGCTCTGGGGGGAGGCAGCCCAGGCGAACCCTCTGGTCTCTCCCCAGGGAGCTGCCCTCCAGCTCCGCCCTCTGGCCTTCACTCACTGTTTTTGGCCTTCACCTCTCTTCCATTCTACCTCGCCCGCTTCAAAGCTAAGCTCAACCAGCATCAACCAACCTCAGAAGGACTCACAGTGAAACCCCATGTCGCCGAGGACAAAGGGCTGTCCGGGCGGCGCCAGGACCCTGGCTCTAGAAGCCTCCACAGGGGAGGGGATGTGTAAGAGAATCTAAGAGGTACTTGCTGGGCTTGGAGGGCCTGAAGGTTTTCCTTCCAGATCCAGAAAGTCTTCCGCAGCTGTCTATGGCGGTAATGGGCACATGCTGTGGCCTGGCCCCCTCTTTCCACAGAAAGCTCGGCCGCCCGCCAGCGCCATGTGGACCAGTACTGCCGGAGCACCCGCCACTCAGCATGGAGGATGGCCTGTGACAGCAGGGGGAAACAGGCCAGTGAGGAAGGCACTGATAAGGAAGACTCAGAACAGGAAGATCAGCCCCAGAATCCTGTCCTGGGAGCTCCCTTCTACTCTGACTGAGCTGAACTCCTCACCGCAGCCTGGGCACCGTAACCTCGAACTGTCCTCCCAAATCAAAATCTTACCCATCCCTTGCAAATGAAATCAAATGCCCCCACCTTCACAAAGCTGTCCGGGATTCCCCCAACAGGAATTGTCGGGATCTCTACTCCCTCCCGTTTCCATAGGAACAAAGATCTAGTGCTACAAGGAGGCCCAAAGATCAACCCCTCTGTTGCACAACAGAAGAAACTGAGGCCCAGGGGGGCTGGGATTTGGCAAGGAGACAGAAGAGACCGCGGGGGCCGCCTGGTCCAAGCCCCTCACTTAACAGATAAGAAACTGAGGCCTAGAGGGCTGTAAGTGTCCTGCCCAAGGTCACACAAGTAGTAAGTGAGAGCTCATGACAGGAAGCAAGGCTTTCTTGGCGTCTCACTGCCTGGCATTCTCATTACTCATGGTCCTGTCTGCGTCTCCTTTGTCTCCGTAACCTGCTCCCCAGCTCCAAATGACGCCCTGCACGCAGTAGGTGCTCAGACAAGAGAGGGAGGGCCAGACAAAGCTGCAAGACGGGAGCTGGGGGGCCTGGGTTCGAATCCTGGCCACCCCCACCTCATCTCTGAGTAAGAGCAGGATAATACCCGTCAGAGTGCCCGCCTCGCCACGCGGAGATGAGGTGAACTGCCCTTAAAAGTACCTGCTGAGCGGACATATGAACGTGGTAAGGAAAGAAGGCCTGGAGGCAGTTCTACCCTGGCTAAGCAGCAGGTGTGAGGGAACAAATGTCTTCACCACGTGGCCTCAGAGGCATCAGTGAAACTCTCCAGTCACTGCCCTCACAAAGGGCCGCCTATGCCCTGGCCGCCCGTGTTCTGGGGCCCCTGCACAAAGCGGGCGTGGGCTGGGGGCCAGGCTGGGGCTAGCAGGCATGCTGCTCCTGCTGAGGAGGGAAAACTGCTTACTGTTCTCTCAGACAATCGGGTCTCTCGCTGAAGACACATCTTCTGCCACCACATATCAAACGCCCGTCTTGTCACCAACTCCCTGAAAGGAAAAAGGAAGAGCAGTGAAAAGGGCTGACATTTACCCAGCAATTTTAGGAACACAGCCCTTGACGTGAACCGCCTGTTGCACACGAGGGGAAATCCATGCTGCCCGGGGAGACACTGCTGGCCCCGGGCATTCTGATGCACAGGCAGCACTTGTGGCCCCAGAACTAGAGCGTCGGGGAAGACGGCGGCAGTCAACCCTCGCATCAGTGGATCCCCCCCTGGCTTCCCGGACAAGTGAGCGGTCCATCCACTCACTGGGACAAAGTGTTTCCTGAACTCAAGCCTAAGCTAACCCCTTTGCAGCCACCCCCCACCCTGCCCTGCCCCCAGTTCCTCCCCCTTCGGCTCTAGGAAGACAGCTCTCAGACCCCTCCTCTTTGTCCTTAAACCCCTGGAACTGAACACCCCTGTGATGGGCACGGGGGGGCAGGGGACCCTCAGCTCCCTGCCCACCACACTGCCCACCAGAGCCCAAAACAAATCCATGGAGCCATCGATCAAGGCACCCCCTCCCCCCAGTCCACCCCAGGCTTCTCTCCCCTACCCCTTAGGCCAAAGTAGTTCTTCTCCCAGGTCACAAACCTTTCTGGACAAGAACTGACATCTAGGTAAACCAGTAATCCCAAATAACTGGATTCTGCCCTGCCTAATTTGAGACTGGAACACAGAGATTTCCAGCCTCCCTTCTGTAGGCCTCAGCTTTCTCCTCCACAAGATGAGGGGGCTGGCTGGTGGCTGGATGGCTGCCTAGAGCCCAGCTGGTTCTAAACCCACAGTCAGAGAGGGCCCAGCTGGCCGGGCGACCACACGGTCTCCTCGTCCCTTACCCACTTGGGGGCCACTGTTTGTCTAGCCTTAAAGTGGGAGCGACAATAGTTATGAGAAAGGTCTCCTGTTGCTTCTGGCAGGACACGCTCTGTGAGACCCCTGAAGGGCTGCAAGGCCTTCAGTCTTCTGTGAGATGCTCTATTCCGCTTCAGTCATGCATGAAGGCTGGAAGTGCTCAACTACCCCAGAAACTCTACTGACCATCCCCTGGCCCCTGAGGCTTTACGGTCTTGGGACAAGGCTGAGTCCCAGGACAGAGAATATGCCGCCCTCCGTGGGCCCCGGGCAATGGCTTCCATGATCACCAGAATCTGCCTTGGGCCTCCACTTCAGTCACAGGTGCAGCGCTCCGGGAGGGGCGGCTGGACATCCTTACCAATGTGCAGGACACCAGAGAAGTGAGGCAGGGCATGTGACTCCATCAGCCTGGTAAGAGGCAGCTTCCTTGGATACCCTCAGCATGTCATTCAGGACAAGAAAAGTGCTTCGACACAGCTGGGGCTCACTAAGAGCGGAGGGGTGGAGGATGGGGGAGAGCCTATGGGGATGGGAGTCAGGAGACCAGGGTCCTGCTTCAGACAATGACATCAACCTTCTTTGAGACCTTCCCAGATGAGGCCCTCAGGTGACTCAGCTGAGTTCACTGACAGCCTCCTTCCCTACTCCGACCGTGTGGGCTCCGGGCTCCGAAGGCTGAGCAGCCTACAAACGCCCCAGTGAGGTGCTGCCGTCAGGTTAGCTTCACCCCCAAAGACACCTCTCAAAGCTCCTTAAGGAGTACAGACAAGGGTCCCAGCAATGGCACTTCTAGGGCTGTGTCCCAAAGAGATCATACGAATGGGAAAAAGACCCATGTGTACAAAAATATTCATGGCAGCTCTTTTTGTGGAGGCAAAGAATTGGAAACTGAGGGGATGCCCATCAATGGGGGAATGGCTGAGCAAGTTGTGGTATATGAATGTAATGGAATATATTGTGCTATAAGAAATGATGAGCAGGCGGACTTCAGAAAAACCTGGAAAGACTTATATGAACTGATACTGAGCGAAGTGAGCAGAACCAGGAGAACATTGTACACAGTGACAGCAATATTGTGCAATGACTAACTTTGATAGACTTAGCTCTTCTCAGCAATGCAAGGATCTAAGACAACTCCAAGAGACTCATGATGGAAAATGCCGTCCACATCCAGAGAAAGAACTCTGGAGTCTGAATGCAGATGGAAACAGACTATTTGCTCTCCTTTTCTTTTGTTGTTTTGTTTTATTTCTTCTTTCTTGTGATTCCTTCCATTAGCTCTAATTCTTCTATACATCATGACTAATGTGAAAATATGCTTAATATGAATATATATGTAGAGCCTATATCAGATTACATGCTGTCTTGGGGAGAGGGGAGGGGAAGGAGGGGAAGAAAATTTAAAACTCAAAATGTTATGGAAGTGAATATTGAAAACTGAAAATGAATAAATTAACTATTGGGGAAAAAAAAAGGAAACACAGACAACACAGGAGGACTTGAGTTCAAATCCGGCCTCAGACACTCACTAGCTGTGTGACCCTGGGCAAGTAACTTGACCCCAACTGCCTCAAAAAAAACAAACCCAGAAAGAAATACAGACAGTGAAGAGGAAGTGGCCATTTTTTTGGCTTTAGGATAACCATGGATGACACCCAAACTAGGACAAACTACAGCAGCACCCGTTTTCTGAATTCCAAATCCAACATTTTCAAACATGAACTAAGACATCCGCCAAAGGCAAGAGCGTTTCTATACAGTAACAACCAAATCTAAGAGAGAGTAAACGCAAGGGAAGAGCCGTCCAAAATAACTACAAAGACCCCTAGGACAGCGGGGAGGCAAATACTAAAGCACACTCAGTAGCTCATAAACACAATTACAAGACCCTCCCTGAAGAAATAAAGGACAGCTTAAGTACCTGCAGGAATATCCAGTGTTCGTGGCTGGGCCATGCCAACAGAATCAAAACGGCGATATCAACTTTGACGGACTTAGCTCTTCTCAGCAGTGCAAGGATCTAAGACAACTCCTAAAGACTCATGACGGAAAATGCTGTCCACATCCCGAGAAAGACCGACGGAGTCTCAATGCAGATTGAGCAGACTATGTCTTCTTTCTCCTGGTTTTTCCCCTTGTGTTCTGATTCTGCTTTTACAACATGATTAATGTGGAAATATGTTTAATATGATTGTACATGTATAGCCTATGTCAGATTGCTTGCCATCTTGGGGAGGGGAAGAAAGGAGAAAAAATGGTGGAACTTAAAACCTCATCAAAGTGAATTTGAAAACTATCTTTATATGTAACTGGGGGGAAAATACTATTAAGTGGGGGGAAAATGACAGAGCTACAATTTCCAGATCTAGTGCTTTAGCAACTACAGTATGACAGAGATACTTTACGGAGCTGGATAAATAACAGTAGAAATCATCCGAAGGCAACTAACTGAAAATACGTAAGACCAAAAGCCTCTCCCAGTAGATAAAGGGCCAAAGGATATGAACAAAAGCTCTTAAGAGAACTAAAAATGAAAGAATGAACTAAATCACTAATAAGAGAAACTCCAATCAAAACAACTCTCAAGTTTGACCCCCCACACTTGGCTACAAAACATCAGTGTCAGAATTCAAACTTGGTGCTTCTCACTACTCCCTGTCCTCTCTCAGTGACATATCTGTTCATGCCAGGAAGTCAAATCAAATGAAAATACTGACTATTGTGGGTCAGTTTACAGGCTTCTAAAAAAACCTCTAGGTCTGTTTTGATTCACTGGTTTTAAAGAGATGTGCATGTCTGTAAGCACATACACACACTTTTAAATTTTACTTTATTTTAAAATGGTCTTACAGGTGTTTTCCATAAATTTTGTTTTGATTTTTTAAAATAAAACTGTACTTTACGTTACCTACGTTTTCAGCACCTCCCTTTCCCCTTCTCCTCCCAAGAGTTCATCCCTTGTAACAAATAATTTTAAAAAGGAAAAACACAAGTCAGCAAAATTAACCGACACATCCAAAAAGCCTGACCTCAGAGGCAGTGTGCCCCCCAACCCCCCACAAGAAATGGGGGGGAAGGGCCTGCTTACAACTCCTCTTTGAGGCCAGGTCTGGGCACAACTTCAGGTTCAAACCGTCCTGCTAACGTCAGTCTCGCCACTTACACTTCTGTCACTATGCCTCCTGTTTTCCTGATCCTGCTGACTACACTTCGGATTCACTCACAGAAGGCTTCCCAAGCTTCTCTACAATAACATGTTTTTTCCAACGCTGTAATAATTCATTACATTCCAGCCTCCAACAGTGGAGAGCCCACTCCTCCTGAGGCCTCTAACTGGGAGGAAGCCAAAACCTGCCTCTCACCAACTTCCATCAATGGGTCTAAATCCTGCCTTCCGGGTCCAGAATGAGTCTCATCGATCTTGTATTTGACAGCCCATTAGAGGTGTAAGGACCATGATCTCGCCACCCAGTTTTCCCTTTTCTAAGCTAAATGTTCCATCTAGTGATCTCTATACGTAACCGTGGCTACCCTCGTAGAGCCTGATAATAGCCTGCCCACGTCCCTCCCAAAATGGGGCCCCTGGAGTTGGCCGTGATGCTCCAGACATCATCTGCTCAATACAGAGCAGCAGCCTCAGAGAGGAAGAGGAGGCCTGCCCTGAGAATCAGAAAATGCAGGTATGAAACCCAGGTCTGTAGGGGCTGCCCATCAACTGGGGAATGGCAGAATGTGGTATATGAATGTGATGGAATACTATTGCACTAGAAGAAATGGCGAGCAGGATGCTTTTGGGAAAACCTGGAAAGACTTGTATGAGCTGATGCAAAGTGAGCAGAACTAGAACAATGTGTACAATAACAACGATACTGTGAAGAAAACCAACTGTGAACGACTTGGCTACACGGACCGATACAATGACCCATGATAATTCCAAAGGACTCATGACAAAAAACACAATCCACCTCCAGAGAGCTGACGACTCTGAATGCAGATGAAGCACATCGTTTTCACTTTTTCTTGTCTTTTTTTTTTGGGGGGGGGGCAACATGGCTACTATGGAAATATGTTTTGCATGACTTCATATTTGTAAATGGGTACCATATTTCTTGCCTTCTCAATATGTGAGGGAAGGGAAGGAGGGAGAGAATTTAGACCTGAAAAGTTAAAGAATTTTTTCAAAAGAAGAGAGTGATCCAGGCCTGACACCTGCTAGCTATAGCTGTGACTGCGAACAAGGAACAAATTTTCTGAGCCTCCATGTCCTCATCTGGGGGCTGGAGAGAATCAAGAAAAGGAGCCAGAATCGCAGGAAGGCCGGCCTCAGACCCACAATGAGGCTGCTGCTGGAGCAGTGGCTGAGAGCCCAGCCTCAGACCATCCCAGCCGCGTGATCCTGGACAAGGCATTTCCCCTATCTGCCTCAGTTTCCTCCTCTGTAAAATGGGGGTAATAACAACACCCACCTCCCAGGGCTGTCGTGAGGATCAAATGAAATGCAGTGTGTGAAGTGCTTAGCACCACACCTGACACACAGGAAAAAGGGCCTTATCAGCGTCAGCTGTGATGATGATGAGGCTGCAGAGACGAGGGAGAAGAAGCAGGAGAACTCAGACCGTGGCAACAGCGTCCAGAGAGAAACCCGCCCGTCGACGCATGACAGACCACATTTCCAAGAGGACCAAGATGGACCACGGGGCTCCACTGAAAATGCCCAAAGCAACGGACATTCTGTGCTGGCCAACGTGGGATTTGATCTTGCTGCGCTGAAGGCTGGTTTTCAGGTTTGGTTTGTTTTAAAGTTGCTCAGTGTGAGGGTGGGGTAGGGCAGCAAGTGGGAAGGACAGTTCCATTTTTAAAAAACAAAGAAAAAGCAAGACGGAGGAGGCACCCTGCCAAAGAGAAGCCACAGGCCAATCGTGCCTCTGAGGGCCCGGCGTTGGCATGAGCTGCAGAGAGGTGGGTCTCTAGAGAGGAGGGGGGCCTGCACCACCTGAGGGCACGGCAGTGACCCCATGTCAGGTGCTTTCTACACTGTGTTCAGTGACATCCCTGGAGTCACAGCACATACTGTCCTCCTGGCTCTGCTCACCTCCCTCAGTCACCCCCCAACGTGGGCCTGGCTCAGCTCTCACCCAACAGAACCCAACTCTCCACCCTGGCTCCTGACGGCCTAGGAAACCAAGGCCGAACTCCTCAGTGTGGCATCGGAACGCCTCTGCAGTCTATGGCCACGACAAGCCTCGACCGCCAGCTTCTCAAGCCTCCACTGTGCCCGGCCGCCCTCCACCGGGCCAAGGCCCTAAGCCCTCACCGCCCTCTCTACAGAGTCCTGTCCAACCTCCTCAGCCTCAGCTCCATCCCCTGCCTTGTCCAGGTCCCCTGGAGCCCCCAGCCTCAGGTCGCGCCCCTCTAAAGCGCACGCGTCTTGTCCAGTCGTGGTGGTCTGCTCGGCGCATCTCTGAATCCCTCAGAGGACGTATCTGTAAAGAGCTCGGTATGATGCCTCCCACATAGGAGCTGCTTAATAAACGCTGGGTCCCAGCTTTCTCCCAACACCCCACGGGCCTCTCCTGCCCAGCCTCAAACTCCCGATCCTGCCTCAGGGAAGCGGCTGGCAGCTCTGGCCCACTCTGACCTCCCCCTGCCTATACTCCCACAGCACTTACGGCCCCAACACAAACGTAAAAAACACCTCCCTCAGTGGAAACAGAACAAGAAGACCCCCAATGCGACCCAACCAAATCACAGCACCGGAGCCACACAAGCAATCGGAATGGCCTGTGTCTGCTCCACCCAACGGCAAACTTCCTGGGGAGACATCCTACAGCCTTCCCTGACTTCCTTGAGCGTGATCAGCAAAGCCAGGCAGGTTCATTGATGGCCTGCGGCTTTCTGGGCTCCCCGGTGCTTGGCTCGGCCCTCCCCTGACCTTCAGGAGGGGCTATTCCCTGAGGCTGGGAATGGGCTTTTGTAGCCTGGGCAAGACTGGTCCTCAGGCAACAGTCCACAGAAGGAGGTCCCTCCAGCCACCCAGACTTCCCAGTGTTCCTGAGTTGCTGGCCTGACGGTCTTTCACAACCCAGTCTGTCACCTATGCCACACAGCACCAGAGGACAGAGGACACTGAATATTTTCATTCCTTCAGGCCATATTTCTCACATTTCTGCTATGAGCAGGGTCCTATGCCAGACTCTTGGGCATACAGGACCTCCTCTCCTATAGGAAACACTTGAAAAAGGCTGAAAAGTCAAGTGGGGGGATGGGAAATCAATGAAGTCCTGCCGAGATGAGGCAAGCTACAGATCCCTCCTGGCCAGGGATGCCGGGAAACGGCTGACTGATCTAGAAAGCTAAAGGCCTAGAATCTGCAGCCCAGAGGGAGAAACCACTGGGCCTCCACCAGAAAAGACCCTCTCGTCCAACGGCCCTGGAAGATTCTGACTGATTCTCAGCACCAGCAGGTCAGGCACTCCATGGCCCCGAGGGCGTCCGAACAGAGTGACTCTCTGGGGCTGGCAAATGGATGCCCCCCACGAGCTGCACCTACCTGTGAAAGTTGGAAGCCTCCACCCGCCTCATCCTCTGCTCCCGCCGCTGGCGGCTGAAGCTTTTCCAGGCCTCAAAGAGGATGGAGAGGTTTCTGCTCCGGTAGTGGTGTTCCGCTTTGGCGGACTGCATCTAAATAAAAGCAAAGGCCTGGGAGATAATTTGGGCAGAGGGAAGGTTATCAAAAGAAGTGCAAACCACCAAGCACCCCACGAAAAAGTGCCCCGAATCACAAACAAGAAGAGAGATGCAGGGCATCCCCTCTCTGCCATGGTATTTACAAAGACATCAGTCAGGAACAGTCAGTGATGGAGGACTGTGGGAAGACAGGCCATCGTACTGGGAAACAGTTTGGAACTGAGAAAAGTTACTACAAAGTTCATACCCACAATGAGGACCAGGTACACAAAAAAAGAAAGGTCCACTACGTCCCAACAAAGAAGGCTCCCTACGGTACCCAGGTGGTTCTCCAGCCCCAGTCTCTCCGCGTCCCACATCATCAACTGCCTACTGGACAGTTTAAACTGAGTGTCCCAGAAACGCCTCACACTCAGCAAGGCCAAAACAGAAGTCGATGCCCTCCCACACTTCCCTATTTCTGTAGAAGGCCCCGCTGTCCTTCTGGCTTTCCAGGATTGTAACGCTGGCATCACCCTCGACTCCTCACCCTTGGTCGCTCTGAGTAGCCAATCGATTGCCAAATCTCGCCCTCTCTAGCTCAGTTTCCTCTTTCTTCCCACTGAGGTGACAGTTATCTGCCTCCCACTAGGTCTTTCCCCAGCCCAGACACAACCCCCTACACAGTCACCACAGTCATTGTCCATCAGTGTGGGTCTGAAGGCACTACATGTCATCACCCCCTACTCTCTAAGTATGCACATCTCTTTGGCTTGTGAAACTCTCCACAACCTGGCTCCAAGTCCTCTCTGGCCTCACTGGACATAATTATACCTACTCCCAAGCTCCGTTTCCCACACACGACACACCATTTCCCACTTCAGTGCCATGCCAGGAATGCCCTCCCTCTTCCTCTGACTCACAGGACCTCTCGGGTGGTACCTCAAGTGCCACCTTCTACAGGAACCTTTCCTGATCCCTGTCCTCCCCCAATGGCTGCTCACACCCTCCTCCAGCTGCCCAGTGTTTCACTACTTTAGACTGATATGGCAAATGCTTCTATGTGTCCTCGTTGTCTCCTGAGTGGACTGGAAGCTCCCTGTGAGCAGGGATGGTGGCGTTTCTTTGTCCTTGTGGCCCCAGGGCCCAGCTCGTGATGGGCACCTCCTAATGCTTAAGGGGGTGCCCACTGAGCAGGGTATGGCTGAACAGGGTGTGGTTCATGAAAGTACTCTTAAGAAAGAGCAAATGGGAAGAACCCAACTTGTATGAACAGATGTTCCCAATGGAGAGAAGCACAGACACGGGAGAATGCTGCAGCTAAACTGAGGCTAAAAGACAGGGCCCATCCCAGCCTAGATGATGGTTAACACCATGCTGAGATTAGCTGATAACCCCTCGGAGTGCCAGCCTGGGACACGAGCAGGCAGCAGAGGGAAAGGGGATGCAGATTTGCCTTTCTCTGTATGCCCAGGGTGCCAGGCACAGAGCAGTGCTTCATCAAGGCTTCTTGGCACCCGCTGGCCTCCTGACAGCCACTAAGTCAAGAAGCGCCGTGCCTCTGGGGACATTTCATCACCCTCTGCCCTTGATTCTGTTTCCTCATCCCTCCAAGATCTTGGAGATGGCACCTCACTCTGGTGTTCTGTGATTCTGCTAAGATAACACAGGAAGCCTAGCCAGGGGTGTCTCAACTTCCTTCAGCTTTGTTCCAGCAGCCAGCACAGGACTGCGCACACAGCAGGCAAACACGTGAAGGGTTTTAATCCGATGGCCCATGGTGGGGGACCATGGGCCTATCAGGGAAGAATTAATTAAAGACAATCTCTTTACCAAACCCCCTTTTAGCACCAATTCCTCCTGGTTCTAACTGGTGCTAAACTGACCATCTTGAATTTCACCACCGCTCCCTGCCAAGTCTACCAGTGAGATAATGAAGAGAAGTAGGAGGCCTCGCTCCTCAGCCCAGGGGAACGGAGAAACAGATGCTTTTGTGATTTTTTAAAAGCTCATGCCCCCAGTGGGAAGAAGTCTTCAGGAAGCCAAACAGAAGGAGGGAAAGGAGGGGAGAGGTGGGGAAGGAGCGACCTTTCAGGCTTCCCACTGTGCTGGGCAGGAAAGAATTCCAGGCCAGGGACAACATTGCAGGCGAGGGCCCCGGGGCCAAATAGATGCATCAGTGTGACCTCCGAGAGTCCTGACCCAGGCCTGCCTCTGGCAGTCCAATAAGCTTTGTGGATGTGGGGGCCAGACAGTACCCAAGAGAGTCACCGAAGGGTCAGCAAGAGAGCAAAAAAATAAGCCACATTCCTTCCAAGAGGCCGCTAAGAAAAGGGAGGGACCCTGGTGTCTCGGCAGAGGTCAGGATCCAGAGCGGAACACAGCCCACAACCTAAAAGATTTTCAACAGATTAACTGGTTTTACTGACATTTTTATATCTCCTTTTTCTTTTAAAATTCTTTGTCATAAGGGCTGGCTCTTTTGGAAGGACAAAAAGAAAGGGAAATTTAGGAGATGTAAGAGCGCAAGAGAAAAATTTAAATCTATTTTAAAAAAGGAGCAGGAGCGGGCTGCCTTTTGAGAAAGATCCTGTCCCCCCACAGAATGCCCACGAGCCTCATCACAGCATGGAGGGGCCCTGGCAGGACTGGCCCAGCTGCAGAGACTACCCACTGGGTCTTAAGGGCTAGCTAAAGGCAGAGAAACCCGGGGCACGTCAGCACAGGGACATTCTCCAGAATCCAAGGGGGCGCAACCTGTGTTAGTGGAAGGCATACCCCCTGCCGAAGCACAGAGTGGAGCAAGAGGGCCTGGCCCCTGAGAGACCACACATGCCCTGCTGGCAGGGGCTGCATACTGGCACCAAATCACGCAACTTGTTTGAATGAATGAGTCGGTGAATCCTTAGCTGTGAGAGCCACCTCCTCCTCTGGCCTCCACACACAGCTGGCTCGGTGACTCGGGTCTTAACCCAGGGGTGATGCAACCTGCTCAGGGAGCTCACTACCTCCTCACGCAGCTCTGTGGGAAATGTCCTTCTGGTATTGACTTAAAGTCGATCTCCCTGAGACTTCACCCAACAGGTTCTGTTTCTGCCCGCCAAGAGTGCCCAGAACCCACCTAAGCCTTCTGCCACCCAAGGGCAGCCACAGTCCTCCTGGGCCCATCCCCAAGGCCTGGCTACCCAGCTCTGGACACTCCGCCCCCAGCCTCAGGACAAAACACAACGGTGCAGCCGTGGGCTGAACAGGGCAGGGAGGACGACAGGACCATCTCCCCTCCCTGGTTCTCTCTCTGGCGAGGCAACCTCGGCTGGCTCTTTGGCTGGCTTACTGTACAGTCTCCCAGGCCCTGGGGGAGAAGCCGCAGGGACCCCAGGGGCCATAGAGTCCCACTCTCCTCATTTTACAGATATGGAAACTAAAAGAGGTGAGTGACCTGCTAATCTGTGCCTGAGGCAGGACTTGAACTCAGGTACAGAGAGCCATCCCCACCCCCCACTAACTTTCAGCTTGCCTTGCCTCTCCTCTCTCTCTGTGTCTTCTACGGGCCCTGCTGGACCTGTTGTCTCACCCTGGAATACAAGCTTCCTGAGGGCAAGCACCAGGTTTTTGCTTTTTCTCAGTACCCCCAAAGCCTGGCATACCCAGTGGGAAGTGAATGCTGGCTGATTAGCTGGTCTTGCAGGAGGCCGCCAGGAGCAGGCCCAAGCAGCGACCGGTGCGCGCATCCTGGGATGGGGGAGTTTGCTGCTGAGATGATTTGCATTTTGAACCCAAAGTGACAGACTTCGCAGCTGGTGCTCTGGGTTAGCGCCTGCCGGTGGCAGCGTCAGGAAGGGGGGTGACGCTGCCGCGCTGTGCCCCTTTCCTAAGGCTGCGTTGGCTGCCCTGCCCCCCTGCCGCCTGCCTCCACACCATCTCTACCTTCAAGGCTCCTCCGGGCTGGGCAGCCCCCCTTCTGGCTGAGTGGAAGTGCCGGCTGTGAAACGATGACGCCTTTTAGATGCCAGAGATCAAGAATGAGGGGCTCAACTCCCCCGACCTTCTCCGGGTGGAAGAGGACAAGCAGTGCTGGGCAGCCACCCTGGCAGCAAGCTTGACTACTGAGAACCAGCAGAGCTGATCCCGGAAAAACCTGGGAAGCAAGTGCTGGGCTCTCCAGGAGTCTCCACTCCCCCTCCTTCTCTGACGCGGTGGCCAGAGATCCCTTCCTCCCCGCGGAGCCCCCTCTGTGAAGCAACGGGCACACAGCCCCCGCCCCGGCAAATTCAAGCAAAGGCCTCAGCGGCCCACTTTCGTACTTCCAAGAGCTCCCTACCTGTTTGCGTCTGCTCTCCTGGGCCTTCTGTGACCACAGCCGGAGGCACTTATGTAATAGGGCTTCCCTGGAAAACAAGAAGGAAACCCTTGAGACCATCTGGGAGACTCTGGGATCACCGGCTCACCTCGGCTCCACTGCCTGCTAACAGTAAGCCCAGCAAATGTCATCCTCGTGCTCCAGGAGGGAAACTGAGGCACAGAGAGTTGTGCTAACTTGTGAGTGAGGGTCCGAGGAGGGACCTGAACCCAGGCCTCCCGCCCCTCCCTCGCCACCCCACACTCGATCTCCCTTAAGACAAAATCCAGCCAAGAGGGCTCGGACACAGTTAGTCTGACAGAACATCCTCATTGTGGAGGCAAGGAAAAGGGGAGCTCGAGAATGGGGACTTCTGGACAGTCGGGGGCCACACAGATGGGGCCCCCGTTCTCCAGGGGCCTGGCACCCGCTGCATGGCCTGGGGCAGACCCAGAGTCGTTCCCCCCCCCCACCGCATCTCAGTCTGCTCAGGATCTGCCACCGAGCTTCCAGATCTCAAAGCTCCCCCCCAGCTCAGAATCTTCAGGCTCCATCCAGGATGAGGCCCACACCTGCATCCTGCCAAGCTTCAAAAAAAAAAAGAGAACATGCGACCTGAGGAGCTGAGAGTGCTCTCAAGAGAGGCTGAAACGGAGGAGGTGGACGTGGCAACGGCCCCTGCGCTGTGGGGCAGGAGGGCCCCACGGCGTGTGCAGGAAAGGAGGCAGCGGGGCTGCGGTTCGTTCTGGAGAGCAGTTTGGGAGCAGGCCCAGAGGGCCATCAGCCTGTGAACACCCTTTGACCCAGCAACACCACTCCTGGGCTGTAACTCCAAAGAGACCAAAGAGAAGGGAGAAGGACCCAAGTGGACAAAACGATTCACAGCAGCTCTTTTTATGGTGGCAAAGAACTGGAAATCGGGGGGATGCCCATCCACTGGGGAATGGCTGAACAAGCTGTGGTATCTGCTCGTGATGGAGTACTTCTGCGTTATAAGAAATGACAAGGGAGTAGTTTGAGAAAAACCTGGAAGTCTTATAAGGGCTGTTGCTGAGCGAAGTGAGCAGAACCAGGAGATCTTTGTAAACAGTTAACAGCAACACCACACAATGATCGACTGTGAATGACTTACTATTCTTAGCAACACCACGACCCAAGACAATTCGGAAGACCTAGGATGAGGAATGCTCTCCACCTCCAGAGAAAGAACAGGAGGCTGAAGACAGATCAAAGCACGTTATTTTTTGCTGGGTTTTTTTTCCCTTTATTTTTTTTTAACTTGGTTCTTTTTTCAGTCTGTGTTTTCTTTCACAACATGACTAATATGGAAATATATTTTGCATGACTGCATATGTATAACCTATATGCTTGCCTCTCAGGGAGGGTGAAGGGGGAGGGAGAGAATTTGGAACTCAAAGATTTTAAAAACAAACGTTGAAAATTGTGTTTACATGTAACTAGAAAAAAATAAACTATAAACACCAAAAATACATTTGGGGTTTGTTTGGGATTTATTTTTTACCTTTTCTATAACTTCATTCCTGATTACATGTGGACTTAACGTGGTGTGATTTTTACACTTTTCTAAGGCTTTTTTACATACAGAAATCCACAAATTAGAAAAAAAAATTCCCTGGTCTAGCCATGCAAGAGATAAGGCAGGGAGAGAGGCAGGTGGTCTGGGCATGCAGCAATTAACCTTTAAGTTGAGAATCGACTAGATTTTTTTTTATTAATTTATTTTGAGTTATCAACAATCACTTCCATAAGCTTTTGAGTTTAAAATTTTTCTCCCCCTCCCTCCCCCAAGACAGTATGCAATCTGATATAGGCTATATATGTACATTCCTATTAAACATATTTTCACATTAGTGATGTAAGAATTAGAACCAATAGGAGGAACCACCAGAAAGAGGAAACAAAATAAAACAGAAGGAAAAAAATAGCAAATAGTATGCTTTGATCTGCATTCAAACTCCACATTTTTTCTCTGGATGTGGATAATATTTTCTATCATGAGACCTTTGGAGATACTTAGATCCTTGCGTTGCTGAGAAGGGCTAAGTCTGTCAATGTTATTCATTGCACAATGTGGCTGGTACTGTGTACAACGTTCTCCTGGTTCTGCTCACTTCACTCAGCATCAGTCCACACACGTCTTTCCAGGATTTTCTGAAGTCTGCCTGCTCATCATTTCTTATAGCGCAACAGTATTCCATTACATTCGTATACCACAACTTGTTCAGCCACTCCCCAGTGGATGGGCATCCCCTCCACTTCCAATTCTTTGCCATCACAAAAAGAGCTGCTATAAATATCTGGACATGTGGGTCCTTTTCCCTTTTTTTTTTTTTGCAATTCTTTTTGTTTGTTTCTGCTTTTTGGTGAGGCAATCAGGGTTAAATGACTTGCCCAGGGTCACACAGCTAGTAAGTGTCAAGTGTCTGCAGTCACATTTGAACTCAGGTCCTCCTGATTCCAAGGCCAGAGCTCTATCCACTGCGCCACCTAGCTGTCCCTCCTTTTTCCACTTTTATGATCTCTGGGACACATACCTGAAACTGCTATTGCTGGGTCAAAGGGTATGCAGTTTTGTAGCCCTTTGGGCATAGTTCCAAATTGCTCTCCAGAATGGCTGGATCATTTCACAACTCCACCAACAATGCATTAGTGTTCCAGTTTTCCCGCATCCTCTCTAACATTTATCATTTTCCTGTTTTGTCATGTCAGCCAATCTGATGGGTGTGATGTTGTTTTGATTTGCATTTCTCTAATCAATAACGATTTAGAGCATTTTTTCATATGACTATAGATGGCTTTAATTTCTTCATCTGAGAACGGCCTGTTCATATCCTTTGACCATTTATCAATTGGGGAATGACTTGTATGCTTATAAATTTAACTTAATTCTCTATATATTCTAGAAATGAGGCCCTTAGCAGAGAGACTGGTAAAATTTCTTTCCCAGTTTTCCACTTCCCTCCTAATCTTGATTGCATTGGCATTATTTATGCAAAACCTTCTCAATTTAATGTAATCAAAATGATCCATTCTGCATTTTGTAATGTTCTCTATCTCCTGTTTGGTCGTGAATTCTTCTGGGGAATCGACCAGATCACACACAAACTGTCAGAGCTAGAAGGGACCTGGGGACTACCTGGCAGAAACTGTGCAATCTACAGATGAGGAAACTGAGGCTCAGAGAGGGGAGGAGCCTGCCACCCAAGAGGCCAGGGAGCACTGCAGATGTTGCAAACAACAGCTTCTCGGCTTACTGGAAGAAACAGCCGCTGTGCGTCAGGCTGACGCAGCTGGACAGACGTACCTGCGGAGGACACCCGATTCCCTTTGCTCCGCCTGACGTTCACCAGCAGCCTTTCAATCTGCAAGCTGGTCACCCCAGTGGCCCCACCGTGCAGCCACACAAGGAGGGGTCTTGGGCAGCCCCCGCCCCAGCTGTCAGGCCAGCCGGACCCCATCTGCCTCCTTACCATTACCTCCCCCCAAGAAATGAATAAATTAGCATGCTGGCTTACAAAGCAATCTCTCATGGGTTAATTAGTGTCAATGACACCCTGGCGGCATTTGTGAACATGCATGTGTGCACACACGCATGCACTCCCACACACAGACACAGAGGATTAGGGCTGGAAGGGCCTTAGAGGCCACGGAGCCTGACCCCTTGTTTTATAGATGAAGAAACTAAGGCAAAGATGACTAAGGGAGTCCCCAAGGGTCACAAAGCTAGGCGGTATATACCTAAGGTAGGATTCAGACTTAGGTCTTCCTGACCTCAAGTCTGGTGCTCTACCCACCACACCATACTGCCTCTAGGCCAACACCCACCCAGCCTTGGGTGCAGCCAGCATACGCGCAGTGCTTCTAGGGGGCCTGCCTCCTCCAGTCAGCCCTCTGAAGATGGGAGCCAGCAAGGCCAGGGAAGGCCTCGGGGTGCCTTCAGAGGAGCCCAGGCCCCAAGCCTGTGTCTTTACCCACACTCCCTCTCCACTATGCCTTCCTCTCTCGACTGAGCACAGGGGGACCACCCAGTGCTAGCCTGCCTTTCTCCACCTTCCTTCCCAGTGGAGGGAGTGACACGTGGAATTCTTCCACTGAAGGGACACACGCCCACCCCAAAAAGAAGGCTCTGCTGAGGAAATCCCACCAGGAAGAAACAAAAACAACACTCCCACTGCATCCACCACTGAGGTTTCAGCCCTTTCGTGGCAAGCAGAGCCGAGGCAACGGCATCACCCACAATGACGTGGATGAGGAAGCCCCACGAGGCTGGATCATCCCATGACCAGAAAGAGGAGAGGCGGCAGCATGCGGGACGGCGGTACCTGAAGTGGACGTGGGCACAGAGGAGCTGGGGCAGCCACCTCTCATTCTCTCTCCATTCAGCTCGAGCACACCAGCGGCGCCAGAACCTCTGCAAAAGCTGGAGAAGAGACAGGGCCACGTGTGAAGGGATGAGGAGGACCCCCTGTGGGTACCCACAGCGACAGCAGCTCTTTGAGACTCACCCAGGAGAGGCACTTCCCCCTCAGAGCCCGCAGGGGTGCCCACCCCATCTTACAGGTGAGCACACTGAGGCACCAACGGCCAAAATGTGCTGGCGCTGGGACTGGGGGCCCGAGTCCAGCAGCCCTCCTGCCAAAGGGACAGCAGAGAGAGGGAGCCTGCCCACAGGAAACACTCCCAGCCCGGGCTGCACTGAGAGGTCAAAGACATTCTCTCTGTCTTTGAAATCTGACTGTGGGCAGCCTCCCCCTCCCACGCACGGCAGCTTCCTTCTGCCACATTCTACCCACCGCTTCTCACAAAACCCCACTGCTGGAGGCTGTGAGGTATGGCCAGGGGACTGGCCCCAGGTCACAGCTGGGTCTAGAGCCGAGGCCTCCAGGCTTAAGGTCTATACTCTTTCTTCCAGGCTTAATGGAATGCCTCTTGATAAGTAGGAACTATCTGAAGTAAGTTATGACCCCAGCAGGCCAATAACCAGCAGCTGCTGGTTGCTGAGTGAAGGCTCAATGAGAACACGGCTGGTAACCACCTCAGAGACAGGGAATTCCCCCATTTTCTGGGTCCTCACTTATGATCCCACAAAGCTAAAAAAAGGCATCAAGTACTGATTTCTGTTGCAAATCCGTTCCCAGAGCCTAACCACCTGAAGAACTGTCCCAGGACAAAGGGAGACACGGGTGGAAGGCACAGAAGGGGGGCCTCACCATGGCCTGGTACTGCCCGTGAGCCAGATTCTTCCTTAAGCGGTGCCGACGGGAATTCTTCACGTTGTCCTTCAGGGCCCTGAAACAGCTGAGCTGGGGAAAGAGGAAGAGAGAGCCAGGCTCAGGGCAAAGCCTTGGGACCACGCAGAATCATCTGCCCAAGGAGGCCCCTGGATGGATGCCAGCGGCCTCCACTGCCCACGACTGCCCCCACATCCTTCGCTGCTTCTGCCACAGCTCAGGAGCCAGGTCGGCGCCTTGAGAGGGGCTGCTCACACCAGCGACACAAACCCTGTGTGCACAGCCCGGAGCGCAGAGAAGACGCAGCTCCTGCCCTCGTGAGGGCCCCAGCCTAATGGGGGATACAACGTATAACTAGAATAAAAAGGCAATCCCAAGGTTCCAGATGAGTCCCCTTTTGGTGAGTGGCAGCTGTGGATTCAGGGTCAGAATCCTAGCTCTGCTCAACACCCTGTGTAACCCACAGAAAGTCATTGCCCTTTACTGGGGCTCAGTTTCCTCAGCTGTAAAATGAGGGGACTGGCCTGAAGGACCCCTAACACACCCTCCAGTCCTAAACCTTACGCTGTACATACAAGAAAGGGACAAAGGGCTCTCCAAGGTGTGAGGAGGAAAAGGTCGTTTCTGGGGGAAGAGAGGGAGTCACGGCCACTGAGCTGGGCCTGGAGGAGGTGGGGGTCAGAGGGTAAGAGGCCAGGATGGCGAGGAGTATGCGTCAGGTTCTGGGAGCAGCACAGAGGAACTGAGGCCAGAGAGGATGGGACAAGTACTGTGGCCTGAAAAGGAGGCCAGACCAGGCTGGAGGAGGCCTCAGAAAAGGGCAGGCCAAGGGGAACAGGACGCCCCGAAGGCATTCACCCGGCCATAGTGGGAAGGGTGAATTCAAGGGAAAAGGAAAGAGAGGGGTCCAAGAAGAGCCCCTATCAGGAGGGTGGCCAACCTCGAGAAGGGATGGGCCACTCTGCTCGTTCAATGAGGCTGTTAGCCCCCGGCTCTACATGGCAAGGAAGCCCGTGGTCGGAAATAAGAAGACTCCACGTTCTGAAATCAGAAAAAGAAACCTCTGCCTGTTCCTGAGCCGACACTCGGCAGAAACACAACTTTCCCGCTTCGCAGCTCTGCCTGGTCCCGGCACCACAGCCAGCTGAAGGGCCAGAAGAAAATGAGGCCCAAGAGCAAACTGTGGGTTGGAAGCCACGGAAGAAACAGAAATGTGGCTGAGCCACCAGAGAGGAGGCCAGGCTGGAGAGAGACCCTGAAGGTGGCGCTAAGAAAAGAAGAGGAGCTTCCTGTTCAGGACCACAAGAAAATGGCCATCAGCAGCCTGCCTGCTAAGTGGTGGCACATTAACATAACAGATCCCCTACTGCAGCGAAGTCTGATGAGGACCAGCGGCAGAGAAATCAGACAGACCTTTAGAAAACCACAGGGGGCAGGAGGGCTCAGACTTCTCATTCCACCCATCAGCGACCGCCCAGAGTCACACAGCCGGCAGAAGCCAGAAGCAGGCCTTCATAACAACAGCTGGCACATACACGGCGCTTTAGTGCACCAAAGGGCTCGCCAAGAGTTACTGTGGTAAATTAAGGGTCGAGGCCTCCCAGCTTGGCCCAGCCCTCCCAGCCCTCCCCAATGCCTGCCCTACATTCCAGCTTTCCCCAGCACATCTGACCCTCCTCCAAACTTGTGAGGTAAGGGTTACTACTCTCCTCATTTTACAGATAAAGAAACTAAGGCAGACAGCGCACCACGAGGGAGGGTATGGAGAGACAAGAGGAAATGGAGTGAGGGGGAGATGCCAGGGGCTCAGCTGGGGAAGTTAAATTTGGGAACAGCTGCTGTAGAGAGAAGCATGGAGTGGGTCAGACGCGCTTGCGAGGGGCCAGGAACCAGATGAAGGTGTAACTGGAAAATATTTAACAAAACAAATAACAATACAATTGCACCTGGCCCATATTAGTAGTGCAAGGGTTGCTGTACAAGGGCGAGCGCCCCGCGGAGATCAGATCCAAGCAGCAGTGTCAGGAGGGACGAGGCAGAGCGTCAGCAGCAGTGGGGCAAGGGAAGCAAAGGTTCAAGAACACAGCTGGCGCAGGGCTGAGCTGGTTCACTAGACAAAGACCTGGGGGCTCGATGAAGATGAAGAACAGCCCAAGGAGGGGCAGCTTAGGTGGTGCAGTGGATAGAGTCCGGAGGACCCGAGTTCAAATCCGGCCTCAGACACATAACTCACTAGCTGTGTGACCCTGGGCAAGTCACTTAACCCCACTGCCTCATCTGGAAAAAAAAAAAAAGAATAGCCCAAGGAGGGGCAAGGTAGAGGAAGAGAGAATGACAGAAGACGGGCAAGTTTCTTGATCACATCAGTGGAGTCTTTGTCGGGCGCTGGCAAGAGATGGTGCCTGCAGGTAGCTGAGAGCAGCACAAGAAGCAGAACTGATGAATGGGAATTCAGGGTATCTGAGGGAGCATGGAGTCAGGTAGAGACTGTGACTCGACTAGCCCACTGAGAAAGGGGGCAGAACGTCCTGGGGGCAGGCAGAGCAGAACGTGATGTAAAAATAAGAGATGCCAATTAAAAAGTTTCCAAAAAGTAACAATGACTGTGGAGGAAGCAGGAGCCAGAGTCATTCCCACAATGCCATGAGTGGCGGGGAGCCAGATGGAAGCATGCTCACCAATGAAAACAGACAGTTACCGATTACAATAACCACACTCGGCCCCAAAGAAGACACGCCGCAATGGCCCTCCTCTCCCGTCTCGAGGGAGGCGAGGGGCTGCAGACACAGAATGCTGCATACGTGGTGGGCTGGGCAGGTGGCGAGGGCAGTCTGGCCTTTCTTTCTCTAGTTTTTCCTATAAAGGGCAGTGTTCTGGGAGGGGGAGAGGAGAAGGATGTACTGGAAGACATAGGGTATGCAAAGACAAAAGAGAGAAACTACCCATTTTTAATTGACTTAATTACTTATTATGACTAACACTGCGCTACCTCATAGGAAGCTTTCCATTTGTACTACCAGCCTGTTTTCCATCACGTTCCTTTCCAAACAGACACCTGCCCCTTTCCCTCCCCACTGAGTCATTCTTTGTAACAAAGAATTAGAAACAGCTTAGCTAAACAGAGTCCACAAGGCTGAGGGTGCTCCTGTCCTGGGCCCTCACCTTTGCACAGCAGGGCGGGGCTGGCAGCTGCCCTGCCCTGGGCCTCCCTGGGTCAGTAAAAGAACAAAGTGTTCAGTGGCATGAAGGATCTCATTTTCTTTCGAAATTGAGGAATGAGCTGCAGGTAGAAGGGGCCCCTGGTGAGGCTCCAGGGCAGACTCACCATCACTGACAAGGGGGTGGGGGTGGGGGGGGTGGAAACGCCTCCTCTGGCCTTGGCAGAGACCTCGTGCTCCCACCAGGACCCCCCCCTCCCCCCGCCCCCGAGGGGTGGGCAGGGAGAGCTCTTACCACCAGCCGCTGCCGATGGTGCTTCTCGGCCATGTCCTGGAAGGCAGCGTCCTCAGCAGAAATCAGCATGTCTGTCATGAAGTTAAAGACACTTTTCTTAAGTGGACCCCCTGCCCATCGGGGCTCGTGTCTGCAAATGGGGGGCAAGCAGACACCTGGGATAAGATGCTGCCTGGGCCACCCACTGGACACCTGAGTCCTTACACTGAACCCTGGAGTTCTCTGAGCCCCACAAAGACAGCAGCACCTGGAACACCCTGTGCACAGCACTGCTGTCCAACGTAATCGCCGGCATTTATCACCCAGTGAGCGCTTTGTCTGGGCCCGAGCCAGGCCCTGTGTTCCAACACCTCCTGACTGCAGGACCCTGACCGTCCCCCGGTGGGCTCCCAGCTATGGCGTACCACCTCCTCTGAAGGGCCACCCAACGGGCAACGTGAACATACAGGAGGACCAGGCTACCACAGGAGGGGTGTGGACCAGAGAGATAAGTGGCGGACACTCCCTGCGATGCGCTGGCGTCCACGGGAGCCCCGGCAGGGGTTCATGGGATCACAGGCTAAGAGCTAGTAGGGGCCTTGAGGCCACCGAGCCACCCCCCACCTCTTGCAGGAGACTTGCCCAGGGTCACCCAGCCAGTGAGGATTTATGAGAAAGCCTGAACACAAGCCAGTTCCTATGGGTCTGTGCCTTCGGAGGGCACCCTTGACCCCTGAGATCCCAGGGCACATGCGGGAGTCGGAGGCTAGCTGTCTCAGGTGTGTCTCCTCCTCAGAGGCAAGGACAACACGTTAGATTGCTCTCCCAGACAGCGCGTGACCCACAACAGACTCTCGGCAGGAGGCAGGAATCAAACATCGGAAAGAGCTGGTTTAGAGTCAAAAAACCCTAGGCTTGAGTACCATGCCCCCCACTTCCTGGGGAGCCCTGAGAGAGCACTTTCATCTCCCTGAGCCTCAACCTTCTCATCTGTAAAATGGAGACAGTAATGGCTTCAAGGCTTCCAACCCAAGCAGCAAGTGGAAGCATCATTGTTCCATTTTGTGAATGAGGAAATGAAGGCTCAGAAGTCACGTCTTTGTCCGCAGGTCCCCAGCCCGGAGGAACCCCTGTCCCTTGGGTGCCTGTCCCACAGAGCCGGGCACAGCTGGGCTGCCGCCAGCACTGACTTCCAGATGCCCTGGTTCCATCCTCCCTTGCCAGCTGACCAGGAAGGATACAGCGTTTCCAGCGCTCAAAGGCCTGCCGCAGGGTGATCCGGGCCGCCAGCGCCTCAATCCGGGCCTGGTGTGCATGAAGGAGCTTCCTCTGCTGCCAGGCCACCCGCCAGACCAAGAAGCTGGTGCGGACCATGACGGCACAGTGGAATTGTCCAGCCAGCTCTGGAGAGAAACACACAGGAGGGTTCTGTCCGCCAGGCAGGCTTTCAGGAAAGCCCACCAGGGACAAGGAGGAAGAACCAGGAGCCCCCGCCCCCTTCAAGCTTTAATCATGGGGTCACAGTGGCTTCAACCAGGGAAAATGTCAGTGGCTTATAAGCATTAGACTGGCAGGAGGACCACCCTCCAGCTGGGCAAACAAGCCTGGGCGAGCTTCTGACTATGGACAGACAAGCGCCCAGGTTCTGCTGTCTCACAGGGGTCTGTTTTTCCGCCCTATGGACAGGATGCTGACATTAGGGCCATGGCAGTGAAACAGTGACCCGCAGAGTCAGGCTGGACAAACCCTTCTGGGGCCTGTAGCTAGGTTCCCTGCCGTGACTGTCCTAAAATAAGCCAACTGGGGTGGGCAAACAGGGGCTCCCCAGGCCCTTTCCCATCCAAGGATGATGTAACAAGCCCCATTTCCTGGATGGCTAGCCCACACCACTCAGTACTGGGAGTGGGGCAGGGAGGGAGGCCTTCTGACAACAGGGAGGGGCTAGGGCCAACACCAGGACATCAGAGGCCCACATCCAACCACACAGAGACATGTTGCCGACATGGCACCTCAAAGATTCTGGGGGTTCTCTATGCCAGAGTCCACATCAGAAGAGGCATATCCGTCAGGAACACAAGGCCCACACGGCCTCCTCTTCTCCATGTTTCTCAGACGTGCCCAAGATGTCCTCACAAAGTGACCTCAGGTTCCTTCCCCCCACCCTCCCAAGCCACCCCCATGAGTAATGGCCTTCCTCCTCAGACCTCTCACATGCCTAGCAATTACCATGATGTATCAGTTACCTCTGTTCGTGTCTTATCGCCCACACTAGGCAGGAAACTCCGAGACCCGTTCTCTTCCAAACTCTCCTCCCTCTGCCCCATAAGTATTAATGAATACTGAATGAACGCATGCGTGATAGAATCCTAGCTTTAGAGCCAGAAGAGGCCTCGGAAGCCAGAGGCCAACCTCAGCATTTCAAAGTGAGAAAACAGGGGCCCTGAGGAGGTCACCTGGGCAGTGAGCGACAGAGCGAGCATTCGAACTGAGGGCCTCTCCCTCCACAGCTGGCACCCTGCTCACCGCACCCCCATGCAGACCAAGCCTTGACGCCTACATACCCCAGCCACAGGCACGGCCTCCTAAAGACCTGCTGTCATCAAAGGCAACGAATGACACAGTGTCACATCTGAGGAAAGGCCCAGAATGGGTGAGGCTGGCCCCTCCCTGCCCTCCCCACTCACGCGCCTGGTGTTGCCTCTCTCTGCGGCCCTGCAGGTAGCCCCTCCACGCCGTCAGGGCCCTCCGCTGTTCTTGGCGCATGCAGTGCCTTACTGCCTCGGTTTCCTTCTTCCTAATGATCTGGATATGCAGGAACTGCTCCTGCCATTGAGACCAGGCCTGGAAACCGGAGGGAAAAGCAAGATCAAAGGGGAACGCCAAAGAGAAGGGGAAGGGCGGAGAGAGGGCCCACGGGGACAGAGAGAGGGCCTGAAGAACATGAAACCCAAGATAACTGGCCACGCTCCCCTGGGCCGCGGAGGCCAGCTGACAAGCACACTACGGGAGGCCTGAGGAATTCAGGCATTCGAATCTCTCCGAGACAAGGAACAAGCCCAGTCCATGAGCGTTTCCTATGAATAAGCACCTACTGCGTGCCAGGCACTGGCATGGCCCGGCCCCCGGGAGCTGCCCATCTGTCGGAGGACAGAGGGCTCTCCATCTCCTCTCTCCTGGGCCTTCCACCTTACCAGAGGGGTCTGAGGTCAAGCCACAGTGCCACCTGCGCGGAGAACATAAGAAGACGGGGACGGGAGCCCGGGGATGGGACCGGGACTGTCTGAAGGGAAAAGGACTAATGAGGAGGAGAGCCCGCAGGTCAGTCCAAAAACAGGAGCAGTGAGTCACCCATCATGGGAGAGCCTGAGGAGGAGGCTGGATGGGACAGAAGCATGGTGGGCTCCTGCCCAGGGCCAAGAACGGCTCGAGGGGCCGTCGACCTCTCCCCATCTTGAGCTGAGCCTGAGCCCAAGCCTGGAGGAGGAAAGGCAGGGGGTGAAGGGCCTTCAGGCCGGTGTTTGGTGGCGTGGGTGATGGGGAGCCACTGAAGACTGAGCACAGAAAGGAAACAGGGAGACGGATGGAGAGTCATCAAGCACCCGCATTCCTTGTGTATCTGTCCCTTGTCCTCTGGCCCACACCTCTCAGGCCTCTCCTGCCTCCATCCATCCGTCCTTCCATCTGTCCGAGGGGCCTGAAGCAGCCCCCTGGGGCCAGAGGGGGATGAAGTCTGCCCATGCATTCCGCCAAGCCATCAGGCCCCTACAGCTGACACAGCTTTGTGGCCGAGGCTCGCAGAGGCACCGGGGAATCCGCAGCCTGAAACGTGTCCCAGACTTGCTCAAAGTGCCCTCACCGGACAAGGTGTGCCTTGAGAACTCTGGGGAAACGAGCCATTTTTAGGGGGCTCTGTGACACTGTCGCTGCAGGAGGCGTCTTTAAAAAAAGGCCTCTCCCCTAGGAGACTCGGGGAGCCCAGCGGAAGGTGCAGGTGATGTCAGCAGCCAGGCCAAGCCCCCATCTCCTCCTGACAGAACGAGAACAAGAAAAAGTAAGGTTCAAGCTGAGAACCTCTACTTCTTCCAGGCCGCCCATTCTATTACAGGGCCCAGCTCTTGATGGTACTGATGGAGGAGAAGGAGCATTGATAAAGCCCCGACTATGTCCTAAGCCCTTTGACAAGCTTTTTCTCATCTGACCCTGACAACAATCCTGGGAGGTAGGTCTTTGCTCCATTTTACAGATAAGGAAACTGAGGCAAACTGAGGTACAGTGGCTTGCCCACAGTCACATGGCCAGGAAGTGTCTGAGGCCGGCTCTGGCCCCAGCACTGTCCGCTGCTCCACCTGCTGCCTCCAGCCCAGCACGAGCTGTCTGAAATCACTGTGGGTCCGAGTGCCTTCCCAGCGTTCATCTCCTCTCCTGACTCTCTCCTACTGCGAGATGAGGAAACAGGAGCTCTCCCTGCCATGCCCCATGGCTACCGGTGGCCTCCAGCGCCTAAGCGAGAAGGCAGGACAACTCATTCTCGCTCTGGGGCTCATGAACACTCGTGGAAAGGAAAAGCTCCTCATCTCCCCGTCCCAGGCTCTCGCCTCCAGGGGGAATCTGCCACAGAAGCAGGCTGTGCTGAGGCCGGCCACAACCTTGCAAGACTCTGCAGCAACATCCTCCCTCTGGTAGAGAATCCCTCCTCCTCCTGGGGACTCAGGACCCGCTGAATGTGGAACAGAAGGGACAGCACCGTCCATCGCCTGCTCTCAGCATCCCCTGAAGGAAGGCAGCCGGGGGCTGGGCACACCCTCCATGCCCCCAGCCTGCAGGACTGGCACATCCTGCTGCACTAGCCTCATCTCCAGCCTCTGATGAGAGGCCTGCTGCTGTGGTCCGGCAAGGAAGGCCACAGGGGCAGGGTGGAAGAAAGAGGAGGGACCTCCCTCTGAGTACCCCCACCTCCTGCTGCACTGTGCCCTGAGGCAAGAAGAGGAAAGTCGGTGGGCAGTGGGCCCTCCATCTCTCCTGCTTTGCCACGTCCTATTTAATCAAGGGAAGATGAGATGTGAAATGAGGCCTCCCAAATGACTACAGACCTGGAATCTCATGCTCTGCATGTCCCCTGCCCCATCTCCAGGCTCCTCGGGAAGAGGGGGGCAGCCTCCTCTCCATGGTTAGCACACTCACACCTGATCGTCTCCTATACCTCCTCATTCCTGTCTACTTCAACCGTCCCAGCCCAAAGTCCCAAACAAAGACTACGCACCCCTTCTGCCGTGTCCCCCAGAGGGCCCCTTCCACAGGCCACAAATCTGCTTCATCTTCCATCTCTTCCTCTCCTCCTCCTCCATCTTCTAGCCATTCCCAAGCCTTGATTTCCCCCGATGACAAGGTCTCCCTGGATACCCCTTTCAGTACTGGCTGCACCTTCACTGGCTCGGAGTCCATGACTCAGGAGGAATCCTCTGCATTCCCTACAGCCCCTTCCAGGTTCACCTCCTCCCTCCATCACTCAGTGATCTCTCTTCCTTTGAGGTGCATGCAGTCCACGTCTCCCACCCACTCAAATTCGCCCTGGATGCTGTTCCTTACAGACCCCCAGACCCCTTCCTTTCTCAGTGACAGCTCACGATCTTTCTCTCCTCTCCAACTCTGGCCTTCACACTCAGGGCCTTCCACATACATAGTGGCTCTCCAACACCCCCAAGTGATCAGTTCTCAGCCTCCTCCTCTCCCTGGACCTGCACCAGAGCCACACACAAAGATGGCCAAACCCTCACCAACTCACCCACCCTGCTCTCACCAGCAAACGTGTCTTCCCCATGGTGAAGAATTCTGAAATCCCCTCATCTGACAAGTAACTGACTGGTTCTCCACTCCTCCCCTGCCTTCCCTTACCAAACCCTGCTCTTCAGCCACAGCCCGACCCCACACTGGCCGCTCTCTCCCCTTTTCACCAACTTGATCTTGTGGTAAACCAGTTCAACTCTACACCGTCTTCTTCTGGAGGCCCTGGCCACCTTACCCATTGACTACCGGGCTCCACCAAACCTCAGACCTCATCACACCCACCCTTTATCACCCTCCCTCCTATGCACATGCTGCTGCACAAAGGTGGAGAAAATCACACAACCCTTTAAACTGGGTCTACGACTTCATCTGGGCCCTCACAAAGGCACCCCTTCTACACTCCCCTTATCAGCTCCCTCTCCCCCTTTCCACAATGGCTCTTCCAAACCTTTTCATTCCTCCTTAAATCTCCCACGGCTCCTCCAGGTCCCACTCTCAGCTCACCGAGAGCCTCCTCTTCTCCTAGATGCCTTCTGCCCCTCTCCTCTCTCTCACAGAGGCAGGCCTACACCTTACTAGTGCAAACCCTGCGCCTACAGAAGGGAGCCCATTCCTCCTATTTCTCTGTCATCTCCACCCTACAATCCCTCCCTGACTCCTGGCTCTTTCCCTACCACTACGAACACGCACACGTGTCCCTCATCCTCACAAACCCTCCTTTGAGCCTTCTGGCCCACTTATCATCTTCTATCTCTTCTGCCCTTTGTGGATGAACTCCTAAAAAAGGCTGCCCGCAACAGGGACTGGCTGCCACTTCTTCTCTTCTTCACCCCTGATAATTTGCCTTCCCCCAAACGGTCCTCTCCAAAGTGTCCCCCAGGGTTCTGCCCCAGGTCCTCTTCTCTCTCTCTACTGTTTCACTGGGTGATCTCCCCAGCTCCCATGGATTCAATGACCATCTCTGTGCTGATGATTCTCAGATCTGCCTGTCCTGGCCCAGTCTCTCTGCTGACCTCCAGTCTTTCATCTGACCACTGTGCTCTGACCACAACGGTGTAGCTGTCATTCCCTGCCAGGAGGGGAGCCGCTGCTTTTCCAGTCCCTTTCTCCGGTTTCTCTGAGGCCGAGGCTGCAGAGCAGAACTGCTGAATCGAGCACGAGGCGGCTCAACCACTTTGTCGTCACAGCTCCAGACTGCTTCCAGGCTGGCTGGACCCATCCACCCTTCCATCAACAGTGCGTTAAGGGGCCGTTTTCTCAAAGCCCCTCTGGCATTTGTCAACTTTTGCTGGCTCTGGGTATGAGGTGTAATTTCATCATTACTCCAACTTATATTTTTAATTGTGTTGTTCTAAGTAATTTACATCCCTAATTCTTAGTAATTCGGAATATCTTTTTCGCATAATGGTTGACAGCTTGGAATTCTTCCTTCATAAACTGCTTGTTCAGAATCCTTTCACACCTCCCTTATCATCCCCCTCTCCCACTCTCCCCAGAGGCTCTCCCAAACCTTTTGATCCCTCCTCCAATCTCCCATGGCTCCTCCTCCCCCACCCTCCCAGCTGAGAATCCGGCCTCATACTCTACTGAAAAAACAGAGGTCATTTACCAAAGGCTCCTATCACTCAGATGCCTTCTGCCCCTCTCTCCTCCTTCACCTCTGGCATAGGAAGAGGTGGCCTTTCTCCTCAGCAAGGCTAACCCCTCTCTACCCACACAACTGATGCCACTCCCTTTCTCCCACAAACTGCCCCCTCTTCTTGTCAGCCCCCTCTCTTCTCTTCAGTCTCTCCCTCTCCACTGGCTCCTTCCCTCCTGCCTACAAACCTGGCCAAGTCTCCCCCAGCCTGAACAAACTCTCACGCGATCCTTCTGTCCCCATCGTCCTACGTCTCCTCTGCCCTTTGCAGCTAACCTCCTCTAGAAGGCGTCTACACCAGGGTCTCCACTTTCCTCTCACTCTCTTCTTCACCCCTGGTGACGTGGCTTCCGATCTCATCACTTCCCCCAAACTGCTCTCTCCTAAATGACCAAGGAATGGCGTGTTAGGGCCAGATCCAGTGGCTTCTTCTCCGTGACCTCTCTGCAGTCTCTGACACCGTCCATCGCTCTCTCTTCTGGTTCTCTTCCCCGCTCTCTGCCCCTGGCTCTGTCTCCGCCTCCTTCGCTGGATCCTCCTGCAGGTCACGACCTCTGACCAGAGGTGTCCCTTTGGGCTCTGTCCTGGGCCCTCTTCTCTTCTCCATCTATATTCACTGGGGGATCTCACCAATTCCTATGGCTTTACGATTTTCAAATCTATCTTCCCTGCCCCAGCCTCTCGGCCTATGACTAATCTCACATCTCCAACTGCCCTTCAGATATTTCAAATTCAGTACGTCTAATACAGAACTCGTTATCTTTCCCCCTACACTCCCCCGCACCTCCACCTTCCTCAGGGCACCGCTCTGTCCCAATCCCCAGGATCCCAATGTAGGAGTCCCCTGGGATGCCTCACTCTCTCTCAGCCCCAGATCCAAGCTGTTGCCCCCTTCTCTCCTCTGACCCTGCCTCTGTTCTCGTGCAGGCCCTCATCCCCTCCTAACTGAATGTCTACAACTGCTGCTGGGGGAGAGGGTCTGCCTGCCTGCCTCTAGCCTCTCCCCGCTCCAATCCAACCTCCATTCAGCCACCAAAAGGATTTTTCTAAAGTGAAGGTCTGACCGTGTCACCCCCTACTCAACAAGATCCTGAGGCCCCCTCTGGCCTTCAAGGCCCTCCACAGCCTGGCCCCTCCTCCCTTTCAGCCTTCGCACACCTCACTTCCCGACATCCTCTGATCCAGTGCCCCCGGCCTCCCGGCTGTGCCATGAACAAAACCCTCCATCTCTCAGCTCTGGACATTTTCTCTGGCCGTCTCCCAAGACTGGACCACTGACCTCTCGGCCTCCTTTAAGTCCCAAGTAAATCCCACCTTTTCAGGAAGTCTTCCCCACCCCCTCAATTCCCGTCTTCTCTCTGTTCATCAGTCCCTACTTAGCCCGTCTAGAGCTGGCTTTGTACACATTTGTGTGCTTGCTGTTTCCCCATCAGACTGTGCGCCCTCTGAGGGCAGGGACTCTCTTCTGCCTCTTGTATCTCCAGCACTTAGTAGACGCTTAATACATGCTTACTGGATGATGAACGGCTCTTTGTTTTATACACTGGAATCAGTTCATTCTATAGCTACAACAGGCAACCTTTACTGGAGAAACCTGTGCAAAGATTTTTTTCCTGCTTTCTTTCTCGTTAGATTTCTTTGTGCAAAAACATGTAGATTTTATATTATTTATTAAGATCGTCTCTGTGATACTCTTTCTTGTTTCTTTAGGCATGAATTCTTAATAAGAGCTGCTTAAAAACCGAGATTTTTACGTCAGGAAGCTGGTGGGGCATCAGGTGGATGGGTCAGGGGAGAGGGAGGCAGGAGGTGCAGGAGGTCTGCCTGCAGTGATTGCCCAGGTGGGAGGCACCAGGGGCCTGGGCTGGTGGTGGCAGTGGGAGGGCAAAGGAGAGGATGGGCATGAACCCATCTGTGGAGGGAGAAAAGGACTTGTCAAGGGTTGATGGCGGAGATGGAGGGAAAGGCTACCCAGGTCAAAGGTGACCCAGAGGTCCTACCTGCCCGTGGTGATGGGCTGAATCAGCCAGAAAATGCAGAGCGATCATTTGTGACAATGCACGGGGCTATAACGGAGCCGAGCCTTACCCAGAATTGCAGGCTGGTGCCCCAGTGCTGCAGGGCCACAGCATCCATCAAGCGGCCCACGTGGCTCTTCCGCACCTGCCGCCTCCACACTCTCCAAGGCACTCTGTATCAAAGAGAATCTCATAAGGACAACCCAGCACCCGAGAAGGAGAAAGGGGAAGGAAGCGGCGGGGGTGAGGAGTCCAAGCTCTGTCCCCCTCCCACCCCATGGCCACATGGCCCACGTGTGAGGCATCTGCACAGGGCTGTGTCCACGAGAGGCTCTCAGGGATCTGCTGAAGGAAGCTGCAAGAAGAATGTCAGCTCTCCTCCGGGAAGACAACAACTGCCATGCATGTGGGAAACGGCCACAGCAGAAGCCAGGGCCTGGTTGTGGGCTCTGTCGATGTGGAGAAGCGGCAGCTAGGAGTAGGGAAGGGTGCTGGGTCTGGAGCTGGACAGCAAAGGCCTGGGGTGGAGGGATGGTCATAAAAGAGGGCAGGGAGAACCGCTCAGGAAAGGACAATGCCTTACACACCGCAGACATGTAATAAGTGCCTCTAGATCAGAACTGAACTGACAGAAGAAAAACGACCACAAAGAATGTGGCAGCCCCACGGCTCCTTCTGAACCCCAAAGCCATGGCCCAGATGAGCACCACGCAAGGACAGTGAGAGAGCCAGTGGCTTAAGGACTGGACGATGGGCCACGGCCTTGACTTCTCAAAGAGGAAGAGAGCAGAAACCACAAACTCAAGGACTCCAGAGCACACCGTTAAAGGGACGGCTCCTGGAAGCAGCGACTGCATAAAGTGCGCTTCACATTCTGATGAGGTCACGGAACACCTGAGCTGCATTTAATAAAGTCTCTCCTACTACAATCATGGAAAAGAGGGAGAAGCACACCCTGGGCCTACGGGCAAGATCAGGAGCTTTGGAGCTGGCCCATGGCCACAGCCAGGGGCTCGAAAGCACTTGACTGCAGCTTGGAGGACGTTGCCAGCAGGAGTGCTCCTGGGCCAGGGCTGGGGCCGTTTCAGATTTTTATCAAGGTCTAGGTGCCACAATTATCCAATTTGCTGATGACACAAAGCTCAGAGAGAGACCAGCTGGGATAGCTGAATCAGAACTCGAGAGAACTTTAACAGTCCAGACTGCTAGGCTAAGTTGAATCAGATCACAGGTAGACAGGGTAAACACAAAGGCTTCCTGTGTGCTGGGTTTTAAAGACAACATGACAAGTGTGATACAAGAAGATGAACCAAGGGAGCCATCTGGAAGAAAAAGATCCGGCGGTCTCAGAGAACTTCAAAATCAATAAGCCAGCAGAGTGAAACGGCTGCAAAGAAAGTCAACATGATCTTGGGTTGCAGTAAGACGGGCACCGTGCCCAGCCTGTGGTCAGGGCTGGGTGACCCATTTTAGGAAGGACATCGATAAACTGGAGAGCATTCAGAGGATGGCTACCAGGACAGTGAAAGGCCTGGAGCCCACATCCTACAGGATCTATTAAAGGGGGGGGTGTCTAGGCTGAAGAGAAGAAGACTCTGGGGCACAAGGGAGCTGCCTTCAATTACCTGAAGGCTTCTACAGAGCGGGCTTTCGGTGTGTTCTGTCTGTCCCTCAAGGGAAGAACGAGGAGTGATGGGGGGGAACAGCACAAAGGCTGCATGTCTGGGAGAACTTCCTAACAACGGGAACCATCCCCAAGTGACATGAGCTGCTCCAGGGGGAAGGGTTTGGGCATCCTTCCACCCCCAGAGGGATGATCAAGGGGAGAGTCTGTCCAGAGGTGAGTTCACAGGCTCCTGGCCTGGGAGCTGGTCTTCTGTTCCAGCCCAGTGGGCCTCCTCCTGACCCCACCCAGGGTCATCTAATGAGGAGGCACAGAGGAGGCAGAAGGGGACCTACCGCAGGGGACCCCCCCACCCCTGTTCTCTCCTAGGGACAGAGCGGCCTCCCGTGCCCCCTCGCACTCTGAGCCGCTGCCATCGATTCTGGGACAGGCTTAATCGCAGCTCTGCTCCCCAAGAGCCAGGTCACCTCATGCAAGTGACTGGGCCCTCTCTGTAAAGCCACAGAGCCAGTCCAAATAGCCCTATACCCCAGGATTAGATGGTACAGAAAAGGGGAAGAGAGAGAGCCCTGGTGTCTGAGGAGAGACCCTATGTCTTATGCCCAACAGCATAATGGTACATGGCATCACACACACACACACACACACACACACACACACACACACACACACACACACACACACACACACACGACCCATAACCATCCACCAAGCTTATGAGGTAAAAGGCTTGGTTGGGAAGGCCAGTGTTGGCCATGACCTCCAATCGTGGCCAGCCACGGAGACTGCTGCACGTCCCGGAAGGTGCAGACGCTCACAGACACTCACCGGAGAATACTCTGCTGCCTGAATTCCTGCGCCACAGTGTACATGTCACGTTTGGTCCGGCGAACATCGACATAGATGAGCCAGCGTTTCCAGGCCAGCCACAGTTTCTGCTTGGCCGCTGAGCCCCGAGACGAGACAAGTAAAAGGAAAAGAGAGAGACGGTGAGAACCATGGCTGGGCTGCTGGCCATGTTGTCCCTGCAGGGAAAGAAGCCACCAGGGCGGAGCCAGAGGAGAAAGGCCAGAAGGACCCAGGGCGTGGGTCAGACGACGGGGAGTTTCCCTCTCACTTACAGGACAGGAAAACACCCTCAACCAAAGCCCATCGGCTCCCGGGCTCCACCTTGCCCAGGGCACATGCCAGGGTCACACAGCCCAGGTGAGTCAGGTCTTCCTGGCTCCAAGGCCGACTCCTACCCCCTCAGCCATATTTCCTCAATGAAGTCCAAGGGCAACCTAAGTCATGGGTGAGATGTGAAGGGGCAGCTGGGGACGCCACAGTGCACAGAGTGCTGGGCCTGGAGTCAGGACTCATCTTCCTGAGTTCAAACCTAGCCTCAGACACTTACTAGCTGTGTGACCCTGGGCAGGTCACTTGACCCTGCTGGCCTGAGTTTCCTCATCTGTAAAATGAGATGGAGAAGGGCAAACCATTCTAACATTTTTGCCAAGAAAACCCCAAATGAGGTCACCAAGAGTCAGATGCAACTGAAAAATGACTGAACAACAACTTACAATTTAAAGAGCGTTCTCCCTAGGGAGTTCAAATATTAGCATCACCATGCAATAGATGAGAGAACACGAACGCGCTGCTGGTGGAGCTGTGAACTGGCCTGGCCATTCTGGGAGGCAATCTGGAATTCTCCCCAGAAAGTCACTCAACCAGACCCAGCAGCACCACTACCTCACAGAGCACTAAGAAAGAGCAAAGAATGATACAGTTCAATAGCAGCCAACGTTCATTCAGCACCTCCTGTGTGCCAGGCACCACGCTAAGCACTTTACAGTTATCTTTTCATTTGATCCTCACAACAGCCCTGGGAGCTAGCGGCTGTTATCACCCCCATTTTACAGATTAGGAAACTGAGGCAAACAGAGGCTATGGGACTTGCCCAGTCACCCAGCTAGGAAGTATCTGAGGCCAGATTCGAACTGAGCTCTTTCTGACTCCAGCTACCCCTATTCCCAAATCTGTGTCCAACTTACCCCTAATTCTGAGACGCCTCTTGACTAAGCCTAATTCTAAACCTAATCCGGAAAAGGACCCATGTGCACCACAGTATTTCTAGCAGCTACTTTTGTGCGGCAAAGAACTAGATACGGAGGGGCCGCCCATCCGCTGGGGCATGGCTGAATGAGTTACAGTCTAGGACGCACGACGCTCGCCTCCTAACAGAGATGAATCGGAGACACAAAAGGAGACACGATTTTGGACACAGCCACCGAGAGAATCTGTTTTGCTTGAATATGCATATATGTGCCAAGGGTTTGTTTTTGTTTTATTTTCAGTGGAGGGTAGAGAGAAAAGAAATGCTTCTTAATTAAAAATAAAAGAAAAATTTTAAAGCAAAAAATTGCGATCCAGAGAGTTTAGCAGAAAATTTTAGTTCCGTGATTACTGAGTCAGCGGCCAGACTCAAACCATGTTCTTCCTGGGGTCCCGGATCTGGGGCCAGAAGGGAGCTCCAGGCCCGTTTGTCCCATCTTATGGACCTGGTAGGGGTACTGTGGGGTCAAAGGCTATGCCGGTTTAGTGACATTTTACAGATGGTTCCCAATTGCTTCCATTCCTTCCTTCCTTCAGGTATCCACCCAACACACAACACATAGCTCCCTGAAGAGGACATTGGGGAGATCCCAAGGTTCCAAGTCCAGAGAGCCTTCTGCTAGCTTACACTGCCCCGCCTCAGATCTGCTAACACTCGCCTACTCGCATCTTGCACATCAGAGACAGTCCCAGAGAGTCAGGAGACTTCCTCTTTGCCTACACCTCCTGCCCGAGGCCGCCTCCTTCTGAGACCCGCCATCCTTGTCTTCTGGTCTCTTACCGTGGTCCTCTGCTCTGCGGTATTTGCTCTTCTTGTCCCGTCGCTGACGGACGTAGGTCTGCCAGGCTTGGAACATCAGGTTGTACAAGGAATATCTAATTAGCCAAAAGAGTCAAGAGCCTTCCGTCAGAAAACAGCCGGGCCTGCCTATCTGACCAGAGTCCTCCCACACCAATCCTTGGTGCCCCTAATCTGGTGAGACTCCAGCACAGCAGCTCTGCTTGTGAAGAAGCCCTGGATTCAAATCCTGGCTCATTATATGCTCACCACCCGGCCCATCTGCACAGCCCAAAGGAGGAGAGCACTCTCCCATGTCACTAAGGACTAAAGTCTGTCACGGTGACCATTTGATTGCTACAAAAAACCAGACAGAGTCTGATTTTGTCTAAAACGCCTCAAACGGTCACAAGCAGAATAAAGAAGACCCTGGCTGCTCCCAGCATCACCCCCCAAGAAGGGAACAAGTAACCGAGGTGGGACGTCACGGCAGAAGCTGGACAAGAGGCCACGCGCGGAGACGTGACTGCAGTCAGCTCTGTTTCCCACAGTCGCTGAGAAAAACAAGGCCTGAAAAAAGGAAACCAACCAAAAATCCAAAAGTCATCTGGACTTGGCTTTGAAACGTGGCCAATTCAGTGAACTCAACACGGGCTGATGAAGCAGAGAAGCTCAAGGGGAAACAAGGTCATTCACTCGGGTTGTCACCCCTCACTCAAGACACAACCACCAGCCATGGGCTCTGAGAAACAAAATCACCAGGTCTCTTCAGTCTGGAAAGGTAAAGCCCTACGTCTAAGGGCAACTATGCAGCCTCTGAACCCACAGCCCCCTGCAGGCCAGAGGAGGAGGGTCACTGAAGGCAAGAAAAGCAGGACTCCTAATATTCAGGGCAGAATAACAGCCTCTCCGGCTGGCAGGGACCCCAGAGCATCCCAGCCAAGCCACACCTGGCCAAGAATGCTCTCAAAACCTCTGTGGTAAAAAACCTGGAAAGACTTGTAAGGACTGATGCTGAGTGAAGTGAGCAGAACCAGGAGAATGTTGTACACAGTAACAGCCATGTTGTGCGATGACTGATGTTGACAGACTTAGCCCCTCTCAGCAATGCAAGGATGTAAGACATCTCCAAAGGCCTTGTGATGGAAAATGCTATCCACATCCAGAGAAAGAACTATGGAGTTTGAAGGCAGATCGAAGCAGACTACCTGCTCTGTTTTCTTCTGTTGTGTTTTGTTTTCTTTCTTGAGGCTCCTCCTATTGGTTCTAATTCTTCCTTACAACATGACTAATGTAAAAATATGTTTGATAGGAATGTATATGTAGAGCCTATACCAGATTGCATGCTGTCTTGGGGAGGGAGGTGGGGAGGGAGGGGGAGAAAAATTTAAAACTCAAAAGCTTATGGAAGTGATTGTTGATAAATCAAAATAAATTAATAAAAGAAAAGAAAACCTCTCTGGTAAACGGTGCCAATGACATGGATTACAGCATCAACAGAAGGCTCAAAGTCCCGGGTGACCTTTGGCCGGCCAAAGGATGAAATGCCATGGGGAGAAGTGGCAAGACTCCTGGGTATCAAAACTCAGCATCCCACATAAGAGAGGGGGCACACAGTCAGACAGCAAGTGTGCTACGGACAAGCAGTTGGACAGACCTGGCAGACGTTGAGTTCAGCCCAAGCCAGCCTGGTAATGGGGCCACAAAAAAGGAAGGTGATCGTGGGCAGCCGCCGCTGGAGGCCTCCCTCCCAAGGCGCCTTGTCTGTGACTGCTCTGCACACAGTTGTATTTGTTCTATTTGTGTCCTGCATACCCTCACAGACATTCTCACTGCCTCGGGGCACCTCAGACCATTAGCTCCATGAGGGTAGGGCCTGCTTCGTTTCTGCCTCCGTATTCCTGTGCCCAACACAGACAGAAAAAGCCCTCATTCCTAACAGAGCAGCCAGCTCTCCCCGTGATGGCAGCAGGTGGCCCGACGGAAGCCCGTGAGCCTTCCTCCTGAGCGGGCCCACCCCAGCAGCACAAGGTCTTGGATGACCCCTCCCACCCCACCCATGCCTGGTTTGTCTCTATCTACACTTGTGCATTGTCCTACTTGTCATGCATTTGGCTCTCTGTGCAGAGGATACAAAAACCTCTTTGGGAAGAAATGGGCACGGCTAGATTTCAGCCTCTCCAACCACAGCCAGACTGACGCTCTTGGTCATAAGCCACCTTATCGGCAGAGCTTTTCCCATCACTGGGGCACTGAAGAAATGCTCGCTCACTGACTGAGAGCAGGCCCTGAGAGCGGGATGGTGGCCAGCTTGCTGAGGCCTTCCGAGGATGGCTCAGCCAGAACTGGCCACCCAGGTCTCACCAACTCTTAGGGATGGGGTTACGAGGCTGAGACCAGAGATTCCCAGCCCGCCATGGAGGAAGCTCCTGGGAGAACCACCACGCTTCAGTCCAGCAGCAGATCTTGTCTAATTGAGGATTTTTAATCTCCCCCAACCCCCAAGGGACTGGTGGCAAACCAGAGCACCTCAGCAGCGGGCTCTGGATGGCAGAAACACCTAAAAGGAACTGTTTCAGAATCTCTATTAGGAAAAAGGGGGCTAGAAGGGCGGCCACCTGACCTGTAGTGGCAGTCTGCTCGGACCCCAAGCTTCCACTCTCGCCGGACGACCCACCACTCTTCTCTCCAGGCCTCGAAGGTTCTTTGCAGGAGCCTCGTCTCATAGTGGTGCCTGGGGCAGGGGAGAAACCACAACACCTGAATGCCTGCCGAGGGCAGCCCAGGGGGCAGCCTTGGTTCACAGCCTCGTGTCCCATCAGACCACGGAAGGCGGCTAACGGACTGAGGGCCACTGGGAAGGCGAAGAGGGGATGCCTGCACCACGGCGGGCACCAGACTCCATGCAATGGTGCCTTTGAACTGGTTTGGGGTCTTCCCTTTTTAATTTTGTGGGATGGCTTTCTGGGGCAAAAAGGGAGAAGGGAAACACTGGGAAATGGTGGGGATGTAAAACAAAAGGGAGCAATAAAGATTTATATAAAAAAAAAAAGAAAGAAAGGAAGTGGATAAAGCAGCAGCCCAGGAGTCAGGAGGACCTGAGTTCAAATCCGGTCTCAGACGCTTGACGCTTACTAGCTGTGTGACCCTGGGCAAGTCAGTTAACCCCACTGCCTAGCAGAACAAAACAAAAACCAAAACCAAAAAAAGAAAGGATTTGCCCAGAGCAGACGTGAAGGGTGAGAATTCACTTTAGAAAAGAAGTCTCTGGGCAGCGAGGTGGCGCAGTGGATAGAGCAGCGGCCCTGGAGTCAGGAGGCCCCGCGCTCAAATCCAGCCTCACGTATAACACTTGCTAGCTGTGTGACCCTGGGCAAGTCACTTAACTCCAACTGCCTTGGGAAAAAAAAGAAAGAAAAGAAAATGAAGGAAAAGAAGTCTCTGCTTAACAAAAAGTGACATGGAATATTCGTTTAAATAAGCAGCTTCCACAAACACCACTGCACACGTAAAAAATGTGGTGTACACCCACATCTATACACAACAGAATGTATTTATGACACACAAGGAGATCTGCCATTGAAGGAAAGGGCAAAAATACATGTCCCAAGAAAGAAATTAACTCGTTCTTCACTTGTAAGACACATTCTTAACCAGGGGCCCATGGACAGGGTGCAAGGGACCCACAAATTCGGATGAGAAAGGCGGCCTACCTAACCTCTAACTCCAATTTAGCATTCCTTCAACTATGAATGTTTCAAAAAGATGACTTGGAGGGGCAGCGAGGTGGCACAGTGAATAGAGCACCAGCCCTGGACTCAGAAGGACCTGAGTTCAAATCTACCCTCTGACACATCAAAACTTACTAGCTGTGTGACCATGGGGCAAGTCACTTAACCCCACTGCCTCGCCAAAAAAAAAGAGGATTTGGAGCAGGGGTCCCTGGGCTCCGTGAGCCTGCCAGAGGGGTCTCTGGCGCAGAAAGACGTTAAGAACCCCTGCTCTCTAAAGACAAAGCCCTGAGAAACAGCCTCGATGTGCAGGAGTGCAAGGAGGTCAATGGCACTGTCCCACTAAGAGCGCCCACGTACACTCTGAATGCACAGAAGGGCTGGAGAGATGCCACAATGTCAAAGGTGGGGGAGGAGGCGGCCTTTCCCCTCTCACACCGGTCAGAGGGACACAAGGAAGCGCTGCGGGGCTGTGTGCTGAGCACTTGAATGCGGGAAGCTCTCCACAATCCAGGAGGCCGAGGGCGAGGCCTGCAAGGGCAAGGCCGGCAGGAGGCAGGGTACTGGGCAGCAGGGCCCCTTCACGTCCCCCTCAAGCTACACCACTGTGACCTGAGTGCCCTGGTCTGGCCCGGCCTGGCCAGGAGAGCGCTGAGGGTCAAGGCTGAGGCAGACAGGGAGGCCAGGCAGTGCCCTATCTGAGGCTGATCCCAGTCAAGGCCAGGGACATAGATTTCTCTCTCCATCCCACAAAGCTCTCCCCCATCAGTGTCCATTTCTTCTCCTCACTTCTATCTCAGAAGGAAACTCTGCTCAGGTCTTCTAGAGGTCTGAAAGCACCCTTAACTCTGTGCCCAGAGCACAGAGGACAGCACGTGATGCCCGAGCCCAAAGCCGGCTCCAAAGGGAGCCCCAGCAGAGCCTCACCCCCATCGGAGAGAGCTTGCCATCCACCCTACCTGGCTCTCGAGGGCAGGACTCTTCCGAAGGTCTGCTGCGCCCACAAGAGGAAGAACTTTCTGGCCAGACATCTGAAAGAAGAGGGACGATGGCAGACAGTGATTCTCCATCAGCCCTTGGAGCCTTCCTTCTAACACTGTGATGTGAAGCCACAGGAGGGAGACACACTAGTGGAACTGGGAGGCGCTGGCATCCCGGCAAAAACCAAGTAAGAAAACCCTTGGGTTGGTCAGGGAGGTGTCCTTACAGACTCTTCCCAAGGTGTGCCAGCTTCAGCCACAGAGGGCTCAAGAGCAAAAAGGGCAGACCCCCACCTCCCGTCTCCCCTGCTAGACTGGGGCTCCCTGAGGGAGGGACGGCCATCCCCCATCCCCTGTATTCCCAGCACTCAGCCCAGCACGGAGGCAGGCACGGGTGAGTGACCCACACCTGACAACCAGCAGCAGGTGGGGGGCAGCTGCAAATACCGCCTGTGGAAAGCAGGCCCACCACATGACAGCACCCCGCATTTGAAGTTTTTGTGCGTATCACGTCTCCCCTATCTTCCTAGCCTCAATGCCCTCGTTCCCCCGGCCCCGGGGGCCTATTAGCGTCTGAATTATGAAACTGAAGAAAGGATGAGTCACTGGGCATCAAGCTTGCAGCTGGGGTAAAAAGGGTCACAAATTAGCCCTTTGTTAAAAACTCAGGGAAACACACAGTCACTGGGACCAGACAGAGGCGGGCCCCTCTCACCTGCTGCGCAATTCTCTTAAGCGGCCCCCACGGTTCCAGGCGTACGGAAGCGGATGCCCTTTACCTGGTGTCCGCCGCCAAGAGATGGAGGGCACTTTGCTCCTCGGGCCCTTCGGAGGCTGCTGCGTCCCAGCTGCGTCTTTCTTCAAAGACCTAAGGAGGAGACATCAGCCAGCGGTGAAGGTGTGACAATGAGGGTTCATCATCACTGAGGAAAGTCACCAGAGCCCCCAGCACCGAGCGAAAGCCAGAACCTTGGGGGCAGGTGCAGACGGTGCCACGGCTGCACTCAACGTATACTCTTAGAGCCCCAGACCTCTGAGCAGTCAGCCTTTCCCTGATCACTGGCTCCTTCCCCATCACCTCCAAAAGCACGAGTCTTCCTCATCCTGTACAAGTCCCCACTGGCCCGTTCCAGCCCCTGAGCCATCAACCTTGACCTCTCCCGAGTTCTCCTCTCAGCAGTCTCCGCCTCCACTCCTCTGTCTCTTCCAGCCCTCCGCCAGGCGGCTCCCACCTCCACCACACAACGGAAGCTGTTCTTTTCTCCAGCCTCGTCTGTGCCTGGCCTGCATGGCCGACTTCGCTCTCTCCTGCTGTCTCTCTCCTCTGGCTTTCTGGGGCCGAGCTGTCTCCAGCTTCTCCTCCCACCTGTGCGGCCCCCCTTCTCAGTCTCCCTTGTTGGCTCAGCACCACCACCCCAAAAGCCCCATCCAGGGCCTCCTCATCAGTGCAGACTCCTCCTGGAGACAGAGATCCAGCCCCAGGCTCCCTGAGCTTCAGACCTGCCTTGCCAGCTTCCCAAGACATTCCAGACTACATGTCCCAGAGACCCCTCAAACGCGACAGGTCTAAAAACAACTCAGCATGTTTCTCCCCGCACCCACTTCTGCGCTGAGCCTCCCTATGCCCATCTAAGACCCTCCGACCTTGCAGGGTCTCAGGACAGTAACCTCACATCACCCTGGATTCCTCACCCTTCCGCACCCCACACCTCCACGCCGCTGCACATGCCAGCACTCTGCCGGTTGGCCACCCTGCCTCCACACAGTCACCAAGGCTGCGCAGACCTGCCACGGCCCTCCCCTACTCAATAATTCCAGTGGCTCCCTACTGCCTCGAGGAGCAAATATACTCTCCTCTCTCTGGCTCTGAAAGTCCTTCACAGTCTGCCCTGCTCCTAACCTCCTCAGACAGGAGGCCCCTTCTCCTCTTCCATACTGCACGCCTTCTTTCTGTTCCTCACACGAGACACTCCTCAGCCCATCTCCACACCTTCATCCTGGCTGTGCCCTCTGGCTGGAATGCCATCCCTTCTCCAAGAAGCCCTCACTTCCTTCAGGGACTTCCATGTTTAAGCTCCACCTCTGACAGAATTTTTCCTGATCCCCCCCAAACCCTAAATGCCTTTGACTCTAAATTTGTTTCTAACTATCCCTTCCTAGTGACTTTCTGTTAAATTATTTTTCATTTAATTCTACACATACGCAAATAATTGTATGAATATAGGTACATACACACATGTATTTGTATATACACAAACATATATATAGTTGTATTATGTGCATATATACGTGTGTGTGTGTGTGTGTAAGTAGGTATTTTTTTTCCCCTGATAAAAAATGAGCTGCTTGGGACCAGGAACCATTCCATTCTCTGTATTTCTCTCTTCAGCCTCTGGCCCACTGCCTTGCACAGAGCAGGAGCTTACTAAATGCTTATTGGTCTACAAAAAATCTAGTGAGTGCCCCAAGCAGTGCTACTACTAGACAGTGGCAAACGCAGGACCAGGCCCCAGGCCTCCCACCCCCAGCCCAGGGCTCCTCGCTCCCCAGGCCCAGCTGCGTGACTGAACCACCCGCCATGATCTGTGGGCTGGGAACACCAGCTCAGAGTGTGTGCCTACTCTCACCCCTTCCTTTGACCTTTTGGCAAACCTTCAAAAGAGCCCATTTACTGGCATGGGACGCATCCCCAGCCTCGTCCCCTGCTCCATGCCCCTTCCAGAAATACTCAGAATCTTATTTTCTTAGTGGCTTTGTCCTAAGCCTTGGTCTCACATTTACACATCGTCCTCCCCAAAGGCCTAACCAGGCCTAATCGAGGAAGGAATCCTGGCTCACACTGAACGATCAGACCAAGGGGAAGCTGCGTTTGATTGATTCCGTTAACAGAAGCATCCCATGACTCGCTCCTGGAGGAGGCTGGCAAAAGAAGGAATGAGGCCTTAGAGGAACATGATTCCCCAGAGTGTCCCGAAAATTCAATTAGCCTTGTTTCTGTTTGATGAACCAAATGCTGTTTCTTCCTGGACTCCGGACTCTGGCTTGGTGCTGAGTGTGGAATTTTGTCTTTTGTTTGGGAATCCTATCAGCTGAGAGTGGAAATGGGCTTGTGGCAGAGAGGTTTGCAAAGGCAGGACAGAGCCCTGTCCCTTTGGATTTCTCTCTCCCTAAGAAGACCTAGGAGGTGAGGAGGCAGCTCAGTGGGAAGAATGCCGGGCCTGGAGTCCCAGAGACCTGAGCCTTAAACACACTGAACCCTTCCATGACCTCAGGGTGACTCTGAGCTTTATTAGGTTCACTGACCGTGAAGCCCAATGGAATCATCAAAGCCTTGCCCGTGCATATTCCCTATCTTGTGCTTGGCCCCTCCAGGAGTCTGAATTGAACATGATTTAGACCTAAGGTTCAATGAGCTCAACTGTCAAGGCCTTCGTCTTACCTGGCCTTGGCCTTGGTCCCCAGGGTCACTTTGGTTCCTCTTTGGCTGAAATCCAAATCGCCCTCCATCTTAGCATCTGCCCCCAGAGAGCTCACCACAGGTTCGGTTCGTGACTTCTTTCAGCTGTGTGAGAGACCTGCAGAAAGAAAGCACAGGGGCCAACTCTGCCCTCTCCGGGCATCCCTGGACCACACATTCTCAGGTCCCCGCCGCAGAGGACACGCTAGATAGGGCTGATGACTTATCTTATTCTAGGCTGTTTGAAATTCCAAGCCCTTGAACAGAGGCCCGGTTAGCATCCGCTTAGCCACAAATGATTCCACACACAACTAGACAAGTGACGGAAGGGGGCGCGTGGATCACAAAAAGCCAACGAACACTGCTGAATAAAGGGGAACAAGTTGAGGCGACCCCACACAATTCTGCAGGGAGACCCTGGGAGGGAGGGCATGATTTCCAAAGAAGGCCATCCTCCTCACTAACTAAACTCCCAAACACGTACCCCCAAGACAAGGGTTATGACCTGTGATGTCATCTCTCCCTCAGTTTCCTCCTCTGTGAAATGGGCTAACAACGGCACCTACCTGCCAGGGCGGTCGGAGCTGACCAAATGGGCGAAAATTCAGGAAGTATTTTACCACCTTTAAGGCGCTATGTAAATGTCCAACCCCCTTATGTTACAGATGGGGAAACTGAGGCACCAGATGGTGGAGTGACTTGCCCAGGGTCACACAGCTAGTGAAGTCCTAGAGGCAGGATCCGAACCCGGGACTCCAGCCTCCAGGCAAACTCTAAAACACCAGGCTGCCTTTTCTGTATCGACTGTCCAGATAAGCTGTCATTTAAGAGGCCCAAGGCAGAGGTGACTCGCCTACATGCCTACAGAGAGCACTCGCCAGGGCCACGATTCCAACCCACGTTCGGTGCCCCACCCCCAACTGGACAAATAAATCCATCAAGGTCCAGAGAGGACAAGCAACTAACCCAGATCACCCAGCAAGCCGGGGTAGACCCAGGGCGCAGGCGCCAGGCCCGCGCAGGCGCAGACGGCTCCCTCCGGCCGATGGGGGGGGTTCTGAGGGGAGGAGTCTCCCTCCTCTCCTACCCCGGGCTAGGGATTGGGGGCTGGGGCTAAAGCCGACGCTGGGCCCGTTGTCCTCCAGCCGAAAGGACCGGGAGGGCTGCCACTGCGGGGACGAGGTGTCTGAGGCCGGGCCCGGCTCAGCCAGGCCTGAGGTGAGGGAGGCAAGGAGGGAGAGATGGAGGGAGTCGCCCGGCCGCGAGGACTCCCGCTCCCCTCCTAGTACCGCTGACTTCCCGCGCCTTCCGCAGGCTCCGCCCCCGTCGCCTTGGAGACGCGAGGACGCCTGGGAAAAGCTACGGGGAAGTGCCGGCGGGTTGGGTCTGTCTGCGCAGCCGCAGTCCCTCTCTTCCGCATCTCTTTCTCTCCCCTCCCCAAGTCTTGAAGTGCCCAACTTGCGCCGTACAAAAAAAAAAAAATTATCTATACAAAAGCTGAACTATTGAAGTGCCCTCCTTCTACGGGCCTTCAGGGTCCTTTGTGGGTCTGAGAGTCCGGTGAGCGTGGAGTGTGACAAGTACTTTCAGGCACCCACGGGGCAGCCCCATGGGGAGGACCTTCTAACCAGCGCCCTGTAAACACAACATAGGGCCCTGCGGGGGTCGGAACCAACGAGACGAGAGCAGGCAGCGCGCTAGAGCGACCCTCGCGTCCCGGAATCATAGAGACGAGCGGCTCCGGCCGCGCTGGGAGTCCAGCGTCGGCTCTGCGCCCTCTGTGGTCGCGGAGGAATCTGGGCTCCTGGAGCCGGTCGTTGCCTTGTGGATTCCTCCTTTTGGTTTGTTTCGTGCAGCAACTCCTCCAATTTTTGGACTCCTAGAGAGGAACTTTCTAAAAACTTCGTAGATATATTCATTTGGAAGGTGAAAAAAATAACAAATCAGAGATTTATTAAAAAGATCTGGGTTCGAATTCTACTCAGCTCCTTCCTTTCTGTGTGCCTGGGGGCAAGTCACTAACCCTCTCTGAGCCTCCTGAGCAGAGAATTTAGAGGCTTCCTCCTAGAGGAAATTGAAAAATGGGTCAAGTTGCACTTTACCTCACCCTGTGGCTCCCTTACCCTCACTATATTTGTTCATTTAAGTTCAACAGACATTTATTAAGCACCTGCTGTATCCAGCCCTGAGCTAGACCCAGAACTGTGTTTTCTCAATGAAGAAACTCCCTCTGCTAATGTAGATTGGCACTTCTGCATTTCCTAGTCTTCCTGAGTTGCCTGGGAATGTTAAGGGGGGGTGGGGAAATATGAAAGTCCCTGCCCTCAGGGAGCTTAGATTCTATCAGGGGAAAATGTATACATATGTGAGTATATGCAAAAGAAATGGGGGGTGGGGTGGGGAGGGGGTGAGCCTGCCATCTCAGAATGCCTGGGTCTCCTTGTCTCACCCAGGCTGGCAGTGCAGGGGCCGATCAAGGATCCCAATTCTGGTCAGCTCAGGAGCTTGGGCCTGCTCTGTTTTTCCAACCTGAGGTGTGCCCCTTAGGGCAGCACGGTGGTCTCCCTGCTCCTGGGGGCTCAGAGTAGTGCTGGATCTAATGAGGACACCCGACCCGCTTAGCCCACAGCAGCTCACGGTTCCCAAGCTCAAGGGATCCACCTTTCTCTCAGCCTATACCCCAAAAGTTACTAGGCTGTCTTTTGTCTCTCTTTTGAAGCCCCTGCATTTATGCCTGGCATGTACTGGGTGCTTAATAAATTGATTACAAAGATATTGGTAACAGCTCTATTCATGGAGCTGTCCTTAGGGGAACTGTTAGACAAATTGTGGAACAGGAACGCCATGGACTATTCTTGGGCCATAAGAAAGGATGAAATGGATGATTTCAGAAGCTGGGAAGACTTTTTTTTTTACTTTTTAAAAAACTTTATTTACTATTATATTTTTCCCCAGTTACGGGTAAAAACAATTTTTAACATTCATTTTTAAAACTTTGAGTTCCAGATTCTCTCCCTTCCTTCCTTCCTCCCCACCCACCCTCATTGAGAATGTAAGCAATTCTATATAGGTTATACATTTGTATTCATGCAGAACACTTCCATAATAGTCATTTTGTGAAAGAAAATACAAACCAAAAACAACCCTCAAGAAAAATAAAGTGAAAAAAGTAAGCTGCAATCTGCATTCAGACACCACCAGTTCTTTCTCTGGGAATGGACAGCATTCTCCATCCTAAGTCCTTCAGAGTTGTCTCCGAGTGTTGTATTGCTGAGAATAGCTAAGTCGTTCACAGCTGATCATCTTACACTGTTGTAATGTAATGTAATGTAAATGTACACAGTACATTTCACTTGGCATCATCAGCCCAGGCAAGGCTCTCCAAGATTTTTCTGAGAGCATCCTGCTCATCATTTCTTATAACACAACAGTATTCCATCATGATCATATACCACAATTTGTTCAGCCATTCCCCAACTGATGGGCACCCCTTCAATTTCCATATCTTTGCCACCAGAAAAGAGCTGCTATAAATATTTTTGTCCATATAGGTCCTTTTCCTTTTTGGTTTCTTTTTTTTTTTTAATCTTCTTTGGGATACAGACCTAGAGGTGGTAGTGCTAGGTCAAAGGGTGTGTATGGTTTTGTAGCCCTTTGGGCATAGTTCCAAATTGCTCTCCAGAATGGTTGAATCAGTTCACAACTCTACCAACAATGCATTAATCTCATTTTTGCCACATCCCCTCCAACATTTGTCATTTACCTTTTCTGTCTACTAGCCATTCTAATAGGTATAAGGTAGTACCTCAGAATTGTTTTAATTTGCATCTCTTCAATCAATACTGGGTTAGAGCATTTTTTTTAATATGGTTATAGATAGCTTTGATTACTTCATCTGAAAATTGTTCGTATCTTTTGATCATTTATCAATCGAGGAATGGCTTTTACTTTTATAAATTTGACTCAATTCTCTATATGTTTGAGAAATGAGGCCTTTATCTGAGAAATTTGCTTCAAAAATTTTTTCACAGTTATTATTGCTACCTATATTTCCCTTCATCCTATTTCCTTCCTTACCCCACCCTGTTTATTCTATTCTCTATCTCTTTTCACTCTGTCATTCCTCAAAAGTGTTTTGCTTCTGACTACTCCTTCCCCTTATTTGTCCTCCCCTCTATCAACCCCTCTTCTTCTCTTATCTTCTTACCCTCCTACTTTTCTGTAGGGTGAGATAAAGTTCTATACCCAATTGAGTATATATGTTATTCACTCTTTGAGCCAATTCTGATGAGAGTAAGGTTCACTCACTCCCCTTCACCTCTCCCCTCTTCCTCTCCACTACAAAAGCTTTTCCTTGCCTCTTTTATATAAGATAATTTACACCATTTTACATGTCCCTTTCTCCCAGTACATTCCTCTTTCGCCTTTTAATTTTATTTTTAGATATCATCCCTTCATACTCAATTCACACCTGTGCCTTCTGTCTATATATACGCCTTCTATCTGCCCTAATAATGAGAAAATTCTTAAGAGTTGCAGGTATCTTCCCATGTAGGAATATAAACAGTTTAACCTTGTTAAATCCCCTACGCTTTCCCTTTCCTGTTTACCTTTTCATGCTTCTTTTGAGTCTTGTATTTGAAAGTCAAATGTTCTATTCAGCTCTGGTTTTTTCATCAAGAATGCTTGATGAACGGGCCCTGAAGTCAGGAGGACCTGAGTTCAGATCTGGCCTCAGACCAAACACTTGACACTTACTAGCTGTGTGGCCCTGGGCAAGTCACTTAACCCCAACTGCCTTAAAAAAAAAAAAAAAAAGAATGCTTGATGGGACACTCTTCTTCAGGGACAAGTTTGCATAATTACGTGCTTTTCAGGCTTCGTTTGTTTGTTGTGTTGTTTTATTCATCTTTTCAGTTTTTGGTTTCATTTAATTCTGTATACATCAGTTCATATCCTCTTATGTTTCTCTTAAAACTTCATATACTTCATAATTTCTTAAGGTACAATAATAATTCCATTATATTTATGTAAAATAGTTTGGTTAGCTATTCTAAAAACAATTACATCTATTTTGTTTCCACTTCTTTGCTATAATAAAAATGGTGACCACGTATAAAAAAAATGCTTGATGGAGGAGGAGCCAAGATGGCAGAGTAAAAGCAGTGACTTGCTTGAGCTGTCCCCCAAACCCCTCCAAATACCTGTAAAAATTGACTCTAAACAAATTCTATCACAGCAGAACCCACAAAAAGACAGAGTGAAACAAATTTCCAGCCCAAGACAACCTCGGTGGTTGACGGGAAAGGTCTGTGTCACCAGGCTGGGAGAGGAGCACAGTTTAGCGTGGGCCATGCAGGCAAAGATGGGACCCCAGCAAACCTGGAGCAGCCCTCAGGGGACTGAATCAGTGGCAGTTGTGGCAGTTTCCAGACTTCTCAACCCACAAATGCCAAAGACAGTTTAGAAGGTCAGTGGCAAAGGTCTGTCTGACCTGGGTGAAAGAGGAGCCCAGTTTAGCCCTGGCCCCAGCACAGCCCCAGGGCTGCCATGGCAGCTGCTTCCCGAGCTCTCGGCCCACAGATAGTGGCAGGATCTAGCAGCTGATCGGAGGAGGATTGCAGGGATCTCTTTGCTCATGCTGAGGCAGAACCCTGTTGCTTTGCCCACGCTTGGATCTGAGTCACAGTTCTGGGTGGCGGTCCTGAGACAAGGAGGAGTGCTGGTGTGGTGGAGCTTATAGTGGTGGTGCTGAGAGAATCCTCCTCACAGTTCCAAGTCAGAAAAGAGTGCTTGTGGTCACTCATAGTCCAGAGCACAGGCCAGGAAAGGAGTAAACACCTCACCCCTTATCATACCACCTTGGAAGATCTGAAAATTTGCAGGTCCCTAGACCCCTGAAGCTTGGGACAGTACACCCTCCACACTAGAAGCAGACCCCTACCTTAACAGAGTTTAAAACTCAAGTAATTGGCTGGGATCATGAGTAAACAGTGCAAAAAGAGTCAGACCATAGAAGATTACTTTGGTGGCAAAGAAGATCAAAACATACAACCAGAAGAAAACAACAAAGTCAAAGCTCCTACATCCAAAGAAGAATATGAATTGGTCTCAGGCCATGGAAGAGCTTAAAAAGGATTTTAAAAATCAAGTAAGAGAAGTAGAGGAAAAATTGGGAAGAGAAATAAGAGGGATGCAAGAAAATCATGAAAAACTAGTCATCAGCTTGGTAAAGGAGACCCAAAAAATACTGAAGAAAATAACCCCTTAAAAAATAGCCTAACCCAAGTGGCAAAAGAGGTCCAAAAAGCCAATGTGGAGAAGAATGCCCTAAAAAGCAGAACTGTCCAGATGGAAAAGGAGGGCCAAAAGCTCACTGGAGAAAATACTTCCTTGAATAAAAGCGAAACCAGAAAAGAGCAAAAGAACGTTCAAAAGGGGACACGTATTCAAAGCAGGGGTGGTACTATCCAACTAAATTAAATAGATACTTATATACACTTGTCCCAGCCTATTTCTTGACTCTTAACCATTTCTTAAAGTAGAGCGCGCATTGTCCCAAGCTTCAGGGCATTTGTGCAACTGTTTTCAGAGATACTTCTAGGGACCTCTAAATAATCAGTTCTTCCAAGGGGGTACGATTGAAGGCGAGATGTTTATTTCTCTTCTGGCCTGTGCTCTGGTCTGTGAGTGACCACAAGCATTCTTTTCTGCCCTGGAACTGTGAGGAGGGCTCCCGCAACACTGTGGCCATAAGCTCCAGGGTGCTGGTGCTCCTCCTCACCCTGGCACTGCCACCCAGGACCTGGATCAGAATATGGGCAAAGCAACAGAGTCCTGCCTCAGTGCTAG